GACAAAGGAGCTAAAAATATACGATGGAGAAATAGCAGCCTCTTCAACAAAAACTGCTGGGAAAACTGGTTAGCAGTCTGCAAAAAACTGAAACTAGATCCATGTATATCACCCTATACCAAGATTAACTCAAAATGGATCAAGGATCTTAATATCAGACCCCAAACTCTTAAGTTGATACAAGAAAGAGTAGGAAATACTCTGGAGTTAGTAGGTATAGGTAAGAACTTTCTCAATGAAACCCCAGCAGCACAGCAACTAAGAGACAGCATAGATAAATGGGACCTCATAAAACTAAAAAGCTTCTGTTCATCAAAAGAAATGGTCTCTAAACTGAAGAGAACACCCACAGAGTGGGAGAAAATATTTGCCAATTATACATCAGACAAAGGACTGATAACCAGAATATACAGGGAACTTAAAAAACTAAATTCTCCCAAAACTAATGAACCAATAAAGAAATGGGCATGTGAACTAAACAGAACTTTCTCAAAAGAAGAAATTCAAATGGCCAGAAAACACATGAAAAAATGCTCACCATCTCTAGCAATAAAGGAAATGCAAATTAAAACCACGCTAAGATTCCACCTCACCCCTGTTAGAATAGCCATCATCAGCAACACCACCAACAACAGGTGTTGGCGAGGATGCGGGGAAAAAGGAACCCTCTTACACTGTTGGTGGGAATGTAGACTAGTACAACCACTCTGGAAAAAAATTTGGAGGCTACTTAAAAAGCTGGACATCGATCTACCATTTGATCCAGCAATACCACTCTTGGGGATATACCCAAAAGACTGTTACTCCAGAGGCACCTGCACATCCATGTTTATTGCGGCACTATTCACAATAGCCAAGTTATGGAAACAGCCAAGATGCCCCAGCACTGACGAATGGATTAAGAAAATGTGGTATCTATACACAATGGAATTTTATGCAGCCATGAAGAAGAACGAAATGTTATCATTCGCTGGTAAATGGATGGAATTGGAGAACATCATTCTGAGTGAGGTTAGCCTGGCCCAAAAGACCAAAAATCGTATGTTCTCCCTCATATGTGGACATTAGATCAAGGGCAAACACAACAAGGGGATTGGACTATGAGCACATGATAAAAGCGAGAGCACACAAGGGAGGGGTGAGGATAGGTAAGACACCTAAAAAACTAGCTAGCATTTGTTGCCCTTAATGCAGAGAAACTAAAGCAGATACCTTAAAGCAACTGAGGCCAATAGGAAAAGGGGACCAGGAACTAGAGAAAAGGTTAGATCAAAAAGAATTAACCTAGAAGGTAACACCCACGCACAGGAAATCAATGTGAGTCAATGCCCTGTATAGCTATCCTTATCTCAACCAGTAAAACCCCTTGTTCCTTCCTATTATTGCTTATACTCTCTCTACAACAAAATTAGAGATAAGGGCAAAATAGTTTCTGCTGGGTATTGAGGGGGGGGAGCGGGAGGGGGTGGAGTGGGTGGTAAGGGAGGGGGTGGGGGCAGGGGGGAGAAATGAACCAAGCTTTGTATGCACATATGAATAATAAAAGAAAAATGAAAAAAAAAAAAAGAATATGTGACTCTAAGAACTTAAGTCCATGAGTTTTTTTCCACAATAGAGCAAGCCACTGGGGATGTGGCTCAAATGGTAGAGTGCCTACCTCAAAACTGCAAGACCCTGAGTTAAAAGCCCAGTACTGCCAAAAATAAATAAATAAATAAATAAATAAATAGTTAAAGGAGCAAGCTATTTTATCTAAGAGCCAATGTTGCCTGGCGCTAGTGGCTCATGCCTGTAATCCTAGCTACTCATGAGGCAGAGATCTGGACAATCACTGTTTGAAGTCAGCTGGGGCAAATAGTTTGCAAGACCCAATCTCAAAAAACCCTCCACAAAAAGGGCTGGTGAAATGGCTCAAGGTGTAGGTCCCGAGTTCAAATCCCAGTTCCACAAAAACAAAAACAAAAACGAGCCAATGTGTGGAGACACTGGGGCCTGAGATAATTATCTCACATTTAGTCTACAGTCAACACCCCAAATTAACAGGTTTTTGGCAGTACTGGGGTTTGAACTCAGAGCGTTGTGCTTGAAAGGCAGGTGCTCTATAACTTGAGTCACTCAGCCAGCCCAATACCCCAAAATGGATTCAAGGGTGGTTTTAGGACCCTCTACTTGGCCATGAGGGCTTTCTGCCACAGCAGCGTAGGTCAATCTGAGAATATCTATCCCCACTTTGGACAGCACATGAATCTCACTAAGCAGACTATCTTGTGAAACACCTAATATCTTTGATTGGTATTCTACTAGTACCTTGGGAGATTTTAAGCCAATTTTCCTAATTTTATAGCTAAGGAAATGAGACCCTTAGGATAAACAACTTGTCCAAAGTCACACTGCTAATGAGAAGTGTGTCTATGTCTCAAACTCAGCTCTCCTGACTGCCACGACTGCTCTTTAAAACATAGTGACATTCAGTCATATTCTCAGCACCCTGTCAGCTCTAAACTAACTGGGTCCCGAGTTCATCATTCAGGTTATGATTCCATGCCTTGTATCTCCCATCTGGAAAATCTGTACTTGTCTCCATCTTTAACCTAGTTTTTTCCACTGTGAATTCCTTCTCTCTCATCCCTGGTTGAGATTAGACATCTAATCTCTAATCCTGAAGCACAGAAGAATGTGTGAGTAATTAAATTACTCCACCAATTACCTAGAGATGACTTCACAGATTATCCTAAATTAACCCATGGCAGGGGGTAAGGTGGGGAAAGGCTTGTGCACCTATAGGCTAGCAAAGGTTTCTGTTCTGAGTTTTAAGATGTGAATATAGTATGTTTGCATTTATGTGCTGTGTTTGCTCACTGAGTTCTCTACCTACAAAGTCATGTGTCAGGCAATAGACAGAGTTCAAAGCTATGGAGGCCAGCAGAGTTACTAATTCTAACCTGATACGACAGTGCAACTGAAAAACATAAATACTAAATAAGCACAAGGAAGGTGCACGTCAATCTCCTTATAGGTAGCTGTGAAAGCTTCATTGAAAAGGTGATAGATAGTTGGTTTGAACCTTGAAGAGGAGATTATATTTTGACTAAAGGAGAACAGGCAAAAGACTTTCCAGAGAGAAAAGTAATAAACACTAGCATGATGTGTTTCCATAATGGCAAGTGTTCCTAAATGATTAGAATACAGGGTGGTTCTAGTAGAAAAGAATTTATGAGAAGTTTGGGACTGTGAGCCTGGAAATTAAAACTGGGTGAATGGGCGATATCCTGAGCATCGTAATGTAACATCATATACTAAAGAAGCTAATCTTCACCCTGAAGGGAATGGGAAGCATCCTGCTATTTTGTGTCCACTTGCGTGCCCCTCCCCCAGTGAAGTAACATGTTCACATCTCTGTGTTGCAATGGTTGGTATTTTAGGATAAAGTGTTAATTAGAAAAAGACAAGATTAGAGGCAGAGAGACCAATTTGAAGCCAATCCAATGCTCCAGGTTAGAAATGATGATGACCAGAATTGAAGCAGTAGAAAGGAGAAACGAATGGCTGAGAGATCTCAGGATAGAATCAATAGACATTAGAAATAATTAAACATGGGGAGTGAGGGAGAAGCATCAATCCAAGGTTCATAGCTTGAAAAGTATACTGCCAGCATTGCCATTAACCAAAAAAAGGCTGCAGAAGAGAAGCAGGTCTGCGGGGCATTAGTTTGGATGTTCTGAGTTTGAGGGACCTGTGGAAACTATGGACAACAATGAAATACAATTAGATTCCACATATAGAGTTTAGAACTAGAGACATGAATTTGGGAGTTCAAATTAGAGAAGTGAGGTGTGTTGTGTTTTGCTTTTGCTTTTTTTTTTTTTTCTATGCCAGTGATGGATGCCAGGCAGAGCCTTGCACATGCTAGGCAAGCATTCTACCACTGAGCTACAGTCCCAACCTATGAAAGTTTTTTGTTTGCTGCTGTTTTGAGACTGTTTGTTATGTAGCCCAAGCTGGTCCCAAACTCTGGGTCCTCTTGCCTTAGCCTCCTGAGTTCTGGGATTATTAGGCATGTGCCACCATATTGGAATTTTTTTTTTTTTTTTACAATTAAAGGTGTTGCCATTTACATAGCATATGGAAAATAAAAAGATCTCACATTAGTATTCTATGGTGGTATTTCTGACCTTATATATGTATCATCTGTAGGTATGTATCTGCACTGACAACATAAAATGAAGATAATTCCAGCTACCACATAGTGTTATTGTGAGGATTACATACATTTAACCAGTGCTCAGCAAAGGGAGGTTATTTTGCTTGCGTTGGTGGTATAGTGGTGAGCATAGCTGCCTTCCAAAGGGAGGTTATTTTACTGCAACTACCGGATGGGGTGGTGTGTGGTGTTCTGTAGACTGCTATCAGTAGGCATCAATATATAGTATACACAAGGAACTCTTGCATTTCTGTGTAGCACGTCTGAGACCCACTCACCTGAGCAGCTTTTCTCCCCACTTACAGCGGCATCTGTTGAGGATTCCTGTGGGAGTGTGGACAGGGAGTGAGCTGGTTACAAAGCAGGCTGGCCTGGGGGTCCAGATACAGGGCACAAATGCAGTACCAAGTACCTGGTACTTGACCACAAATTTGGGTCAGGATTACCATGGAGATGCGGAAAAGGGTTGAATACTCACAGAAACACTCAGCCGAAAAATATGCAAAACAGGCCTAGCTAAAACTCACAAAGAGACCAACACACATATGTAAAAATTAGACACAACTCACTAAGATGTACAGATACTTGAGGTCATGTCCCTCATATAGCCTAAAGCTAGAGGCATCTGATAAAGATACTATATGAATCAAACATAGGCAGTTACCACAATTACATAACTCCTCTCTACATAAGGACCCCATGAAATCACTTACAGGTACCTATCTAGAAGAAACATTCATATGGACCCAGGGAATGAACACAGAACTGGTAAAGTTACAGGTGATGTGCAAAAAAAAATATTGTACAGCTAGAGTTTGGGGCAATTCTAACTCAGAGCAGGTACAAAGACAGTAAGAAAGCTGGATTGGTATGGAAGAGACAGCTGGTGATGGGAGTGAAGTAGGAAGAAAGGGCTGGATCACAGCTTTGGAGCCAACTGCTTTTTATAGCAGGTTTTTGTAGCATGGGGTAAAGAACAGGGCATACCTACCAAAGAGGCTGAGCCCCTCCTTCAGTCCACTGGCCACTTTATACACTGAGGGGTGAGACTCACTCTTAAATATCTGCAGAACACTGTCAGGGAGAAATGGTGGAATTTAGGGTAACCTGGATTTTTGAAGAGAAAGGGAATTGAGGACTGAGAAAACAGAATGGGGATTGGGACCATCCTCCTCCCAATACATTGAGAGGTTGAACCTAGGCCTACCATTTCAACCAAGTCCCCAACTACTGAGATGATCATGATGCAATAATCTCTCATTTTTCTGTGCCTCCCCTTAGAAAAGGAGGGTGAGGGCCTGCTGGAGTGGTTCAAGTAGTAGAGCACCTGCTTAGTAAGTGCAAGTGCAAAACCCTGAGTTCAAACCCCAATACTTCCCCCCCCCAAAAAAAAGGGTAGAGTGTTTGTCTAGCATGCACCAGGCCCTGGGATTCCTAGCACTTTCCTGTCACCCACCTCCCCTTTCTTTCCTTCAGGGAGAGACCTCAATAGCCAGGATAAGGGAAACTGAAGCCTTATTAGGATTATTATAGCATTAAACTTAATCCTTCTCTCTCCCCAGAATGGCAGCCTGCTTCTACCTTCTCACCTGTAAGTGTCTTGGTCTATGCTCACCAGATGGGTCCTGAGGACAAAATACAAGATGGCTGGGATATGGTCTAAGTTAATTCCAAAGCTCCACCCCTTAGGTCCCCTTTTCTGAATATTGTCTCAATCTTCTCCCCAGAGCTCCACAGCCCCTTAAGTTCTTCTTTGTGTCCTAGCCCAATTCATCCACTGGACTCTGCCCCACCACTCCCAAACTCTGGGTTTATTTTTTAATCATCCTAATCCCACTTTACTTTAGTTGAGGTTAGGGTGAATCACCTACAAAACAAATTTCTTAAAGCCCAGGATGGGGACACTGACGTTATAGTCTTCCAGTTCAACCCCAATTCTTCTACGACCCAAGAACTTGAGCAGTCCTCCAAGTGCCCGAACCTGGGAAGTGATCAGCAGGGGAGTTGGGATAAATCCTAATGTCCCAGAGGCTGGACAACACCAGGAAAACTTATTTTCCAGTGCTGGGCCAGTGCCTTCCAGAACTCAGCCTCTGTTCTGGCATGCTTGCCTTTGTCTAACCTGCCATACATCATAGCCCTTACTCCCAGGACCCAGCTCACCATAAGGAGGCAGTCAAATGGAATAATGGAGGAAAGGAAGAGGATTTTCTCTGTGGCAGTCATGGACTCTGGGATGAAGGCATAGTTTCCAGAAAGAAGACGTTGTTTGCTTATCTCTAGACCTATTGGGGAGAGAAAGGTCTTACAGCCCAGTTTTTTCATCCCATTTTAAGAGTAAGAGAAGAGACGCAAAAGAAATGATGTGACTTGCTCAAGTTTACCGAGGCAGTTAATGGAAAGCTGAAGCAAGCATCAAATTTCCAGACTTTTAGTCTAATTCTTTTTTTAATTTTCTATGTAAGATAAAGATATTTGGCAGCCGGGCACCGATGGCTCACAGCTGTAATCTAGCTACTCAGGAGGATCTGGAGGATCAAGGTTTGAAGCCAGCCTGGACAAACAGTTTGTGAGAGCTTGCCTATCTCAAAAAACCCTTCACAAAAAAGGGCTGGTGGAGTGGCTCAAGGTGAAGGCCTGAGTTCAAGCCCCAGTACCACAAAAAAAAAAAAAAAAAAAAAAAAAAAATTTTTGGTGAAAAACAGAACCTGAGAAAGATAAATGACTCAGGAGAGAAAGATACCTGTCTGGAATTGGGGAGTTTAGGTTAAAAAGACTGCACCGATAGAACTAGTAACATTATACCCTCGCATCTAATTAAGATAGAACATTCCCTGTCCTTTTTCAAACCTAGGAAAATTTTGGAAGTGCCTTATGATCATCAGGGTCACTAATGCAGTGACTTTTTTTTTTTTTAATGATAAATGACTGTCTTAAAGGGGAAAATTCCAATAATCAAAGCTGTTCAAAAAGTTTTACTACTCCTTCCTCTCAGGTGAGGCCCTCATCCCTAAGACAAGTCTTCACAATAAGTTATAAAATGGTAAGGGGCAGGAGAGATCTTAGGGAATCTGGTTACTGGGCATAGAGAGGTGGGTTTAAGATGAGAAAAGGCTGAGGGGAAATCTTTAGTGACAGAGTGGAGTTAGGAGAAAGGGTGGGGACACTGGGATGGGGAATTCGAAAAACAAAAGGAGATACCAAAATCCACACTTGGCAAATACATGATTTCAGGCCTCTTTGGCCCTCTGTGCTCCCCAGAGGCTGTGGGAGGCAAAGAAAGGATCATCAATTCTTTCTGTACATCTCAAGTCTTTCTGCCCATTTCACTCTCCCCCTCACCCAGTTCTACCCTCCTGGAACATTCCATGTTTAACCTTTTCTCATTTCCCTCTCCCCTTAGCCAGTCCTTACCAAGCTTCCCTAGAAACCGAGTCATATTCTCATCCTGTTTGGCACTTGTAACAACAGACCGGGGATTGATTTCATCCAGAACTTGAAAAGATAGACCAAATGAGTTAAAAGACCTTTATCCTTTGACTAAGAGGGAACTCTCCTTGCTACCATTTCTCCCTCAAGAGTTGATTTTCTCCCTGTAAGAGTAGGGAGTGCTCAACCTATAAGGAACATAGGTAAAAGTCAGGAATGAGATTTAGAAAAGTTAGTAAGACTGTCAAAATGGTAGGAGGGAGAAAGATTTCCTAGAGACTGTCACTAGACTATAAACCCTGGAAGACAGTCAGGACTTACTTGCCTAGGACTGTACCTGCAGCATTTAACATATTGTAGTACCTGTTGAATAATGAAATGAGTTTCTAAAAACAACAGAGGTTGTTGAAGTCAGATAGCACATGTGACTGAAACACACTTCCAAACCTAAAGAGTAGAGGAATTCATGGTTCTGTCCCCACCTCTCTGGAGAAGCTTGAGACTCTCCTGGTCTGGGGCATCTGGCATAAAGTGGATAGTGGAGTCACCAGTGTCATAGTAGGCAATGCCCAGATTTCCTGAATTCCACAGCACACACAGATGGATCTGTCCCACAGGGAAGAAAGAAACCAATATTTGAACCTTTCAGAAGTGTAGGATTTTGCCAGGCCTTGTTATCAAACCTCTGAGACAGGCATGGGCACCCCATTTCTCAGCATGGGTAAGTGGCTTGCCCGCCCTCCCAACGCCTTTTTATTCTTACACCCCGACATTCCTGTCGACTTCCCACCCTCTCTCCCGATTGAGACCTCAGCAGGTTCCTCGTCGTTGTCGTTGTCGTTGTCCTCCTCCTCGCTTTCTCCCATTTCTCCGGGGCCCACCACTGGGCCCTGGCAGGGGAAGCTGTCCCGAGCCGCCCCGGGTCCCGGTCCCTGCGGCGTTCTGTCCTGGGTCGCTCTAAAGGCGGCCATGGGCTTGGAGGCCCTGCTATGCGGAAAGTTCAGGTAGTTCAGATGCGACATTTTGAAGAGGCTCGGTGGTGCGCAGAAATGCAAACCCACCGGGAATTAATGCGAGAGGCTGGGAGGGACGTAAAGAGCTGTGGTGACAGGTATGGGGGCACTGCGAACAACTTCGCAGGTATTTCTCTAAAATACCTACTGTGGGAAACCCCACACGGCCCACCCTCATTTGTTACATGGATTTGTACTTTGGAAGGGTTAGGTCTAAGGGCCCTGTGGGACGAGTTGTAACACATCTAATCTGTTTCTGCCCCATGACCACAACTTCACGCTCTCGCCCCCCCACCCCACCACCACTGTGGCCATCTCGCAGCGTTTTCCCGCCTTTTCCGTCACCTGGGTCGCAACCGACGCCAGACTACGCCTCTGGCCAGCCGCCTGTAACTCGCGGATGGCGCGCGCCAGGGCGTGGGCTGGGGACTGCGCACGCACACGCCCCGCCCTCTTATCTACTATTGGTCGGAGAGTCCTGGAGCCTACCTAGAGATCCAGTAGAACGAGAAAGAGTCTGGGCGCTGAAGAGTCTGAGCGCTGATTGGTCTATTCGCATTAGGGGCGTTACCTGAACGTTCAAACTTCCCGCCCTCTGCTGTTGCTTAGCAGCCAGGCCTCTACTCTCAGTGTTTCAGGGCTTTGATTGATGCCAGGAGGAGCCCACAAGATGAACTTGAGCTGAGCCAGAGTCCTAGCCCCGGAAAGGGGGGTCTAGCGGCGTTGGGGAGGGGCTTGGGGGAGAGGTTTGGGATGGAGCCCGACCTTTAAAGGGCCAGAGGCATTTTTACCCCTTGAATCGTGAAGAGAAGCCACATTAATTCAACCTGTGCTAACTCCCAGTTAATATTTGTACCGTCTGAGTTAATATTTATAAAGAACTTAGAACAGTGCCTAGCAAACAAAGTAAGAGCTACATTAATGTTTTAAACAAATAACTGGAAACAAGCACTGCTCCTATTTCAACCCTACTTTGCCTGTTTCCTAGGTGCAGGCTGTTACCACCCCTGCAAGGGGCCTGATTTATTATTTCACACACACACACCTCGGAGGAGATGGAAGTACTCAAATGACACCAAATTCTGAAATAAGTATACTTAATGAGAGCATCTATACCCCTGACAGGTTAAGCCTACTCTTCACCCCATACACACGCTCCTAATAACAGAGTGTGTTATTCATTCATTCAGCATCTATTTATTTAGCGCCTACTCTTGGACAGTTGATGGGCTCTTAAACAGAGAACATAATGAAGTTCCTGCTTCTTGAAAGTTATTTTTAGCGTGTTTTTGGGGAGGGACAGGAGAAGACGAGAGGAGACTGTAAGGGAGAAAGAAAGAAATATATACTTTTCTTTTTGATGGGACTGAAATTTGAACTCAGGACTTTGTGCTTACAAAGCATGCGTTCTGCTGTTTGAGCCACATCTCCAGTCCATTTTAATCTGGTTTTTTTGGAAATGGGTGGTGGTGGTTGCCCAGGCTGGCCTTGAACCGTGATCCTCCAGATCTCAGCCTGCTGATCTCACCTCATAAGTAGCTAGGATTACAGGCATGAGTCACAGCTCTATACTTTTTTTTTTTTAATCCCTTAAATACATCTCTCCTCAGCTTTGTTTTAGGTATACTGATGGGAAGATCCTGCCCAAGAGGTTAGAAAAAAATGTGTGAGATGTCCTGGCTGTGCTGACCACTGATTGGAAAATACCCACCAGCGGGGAAAGGTAGGGTAGCAGAGTTAAGGGCTGGGTTAATGGTTACCTTTGGCAAATTGTTGAGTAATAGAGCTATGGAAACATGGAGGAGGCTGGTGACAGCTCTGGGGAGTGGCAGGGAGGAACATACCTTCCAACCTGGGGTGTGAAGAGATTAGAGACTGGTTTACCAAGACAAGGGAGCAGAAAGAGAAGGCTGGAGAAGGAGAAGAAAGATATTAGTGAGACAGAAGAAAAGCAGGGGCAAGAAGATGAGATGGGAGGGAAACCTCAGATTCAGGACTCAGGGGCTCCAAGACTCAAATCCATGAGGTATTGCTGGGTGGTTCCAGGAGAGGGCAGCATTGCCTGTCACCTGGAGTGTTCGGGCAAGGTACCTTGTGGGTAGCAACACCAGCCAGCTAAAGTCAATATTGATGATCTTGGCAGCTGTAGCTGTAAAGCTGTAGGAGAAAAGACAGGCGGGGGAGAGGCTGCCAAACCTGTTTGAGCCTAAAGCTGGCTCCATTTACCTGAGCTTCTCCCAGGGGGATCTCTGAGAGGAAGAGGAGGGATTTGGGGGGACAGATCCTCTGGTGGACACTGACTATGGGAATAGGAGAGGACCCTGGGAAATAAGGCTGCTTCAACCCCTACTCCCATCAGTAGAAAGTGGTCTCATGCAGATTTTCAGGGCCACCATGGAGGGGGTACACACACACACACACACACACACACACACACTCATGAAATCATTCTACATCCTTATAAATTGTTGCAATTCAAGGAAAAGAATACCTCTTTCTGGTGAGGAGAAAGGGAGGAGAAAACCCACAGAAGAGGAAGCACAAGAGGAAACCACTAACTGCTGGTTTCTAGCAGAACGTTTTTGTGTCACTCCACCCCACTCCTCCACCAATTCCTCCCTTTCCTTAAGTGTCAAGCCCTGGTTTGCTTCTATATCCTTGAAGTCCACCATGTTTTTCCCAAAAGTGTAGATCTTTTGTTAGTGAGTAGAAAAGAAAAAGGATGGTCGGACAGGAGAGAAATTCAGGGTATGGAGGTTGGAATATGTCTAAATGGGACATATTTTGGAATTTTTTCAGCAGGTCATAAAGTTTGTTAACACCCCCAAAATGCAGGTTACTGGGGAGGGATAAAGCTACTCTTCTTCTGTTCTATTTACTTAGGTGTCTCTGACTCCACTCGCATGTTCTACCTGACCTTTGTTTTATCCCCCATGATAGAACCAGCTACCACCCACCATCCACCCCAGGATCCCTGCAGCTTTATCCTAGTGTCATGATAACCCCACTGGACACCCCATCTCCAAGGCAACCTGCTGGTGAGAAGAGGGCAAAGAACACAGGAAGGGGCCCAGGATGGGAGGCAGAAGTGAAAGCGGGCCCAGAGGACCTCCCCCTGTCATGAAGCCCCACATCTCTTCTGTTTCCCTACCACCAGACCTCCTGGTCTGGCTTCCATCCCCTGCACTACCTTTCACTGATCCCTTTCCCCAGTTCCAGCTCCCACTTCCAAATTTTCCTTCTGATCAGAGTCTTAGCAATCCCGAATTTAGACTGGAGTCTGGAAGGCATGCAGTACATTTCCATTCTAAGATCCCAACTTCAATGGGCATGCCCCAGCTGTTAGTGTTATTTCCTGTGAGAGGACAGACAAACCTTATGATGAAGCAAGGAAACTGAGGCAGAAAAAAAAAAAGTACTATGTTTAGGAGAGATCAGAGAAACAAGGAGAGTCCTAGGATTCCCATTCCTGAGCCTCTGAGAGACCTGAGGACCTCCCCTCTGGACCCACTCCCTTGGTCTCCAGTCCCGCCCTGTCCTGTCCCCTCCCCAGGTTCAGGGCGGGGCAGACCGGTGAGTCAGCTGCTCCCAGAGCCAGCCTGGGAGGGTACAGAGCTGGAGGAGCTGGGTGTGAGGTGCACTGGCCAGTGGAGAGGCAGTATCTGGAGGGAACCGGGCTTATTGGATTTGTGTTGTGCTGAAGGGACAGCCTTAGGTCTGGAGAAGAGAATCCCCGGACTGTGAGACCCGCCTTCCTTAGTCCCGGGCCCCTCCCAGTTCCCCCAGCGACCGCGGCTTCCTGGTCCCCGACGCAACCATGGCCGAAGAACAACCCCAGGTCGAATTGTTCGTGAAGGTAAAAAACGTCCTCTTTCCTTGGCCACCCTCTGAATTTCTGAAAGGCAACCCTCTCCTTTCCCCAGCTCCAGGCTATAACTCCCCAATCCCTTCCCTCCTTGATCCCCAGCCCCAATCCCACGTGCAATCTTGCCGGGGGAGAGGTTTGCAGGAGGTGAAGACAATTAACTTTTGAGTGTGTAATAAGAGTTCTTTCTAGACTGGAGCCTGAAAAGTTTGTAGCAGAGCAAGTTTCCAGTAGTCTACAGGACAGAAATGTGGAGTAAAGGGAGTTTCCAGGAGTGAGAAGACTGATTGGGATAGGGTGGGGGCGTGAAATGATGCAAGGACAGGGAGAGAAAGGGGAAGGGGGAGCCCAGCAGGATTTAGGAAAGGCAAAGGAAAACATCAGCTAGGACATGTGGCCCTATGAAAGAAAAATTGGGGGGAAAGAGAAAGTGTGTGTATATGTGTGTGTGTGTGTGTCTTGGGGGAGGATTCAAAGAAGAGGGTGTGTTACAGGAAGTCTGGGAGTGGAAGGAGGTAAATTGGCAAGAATTGTTGGTGTGGAAGGAAAAGAGAATAGTGGGAGCAGGGTTTAAGAAACAGGGTGAAGAGGTGATGGGGTGATCCTTTACTGTGGTAGGCTAGAGAGGGATATTGGAAGGATATAAGAGCTTAGCTATAGCTACTGTGATGATAGTTGGGAAGAGAGATTAGAGCGAAGAAGAGAGCTGGGGTAAGTGCAGACATGGGGGGGTTATAGACACAAGAGGAAAAAAGAGACTTGCCCCAAGTCTATCCTCCGTGTATGTGAATGAGTAGAGGTGGTTCCATGGCACTTGGGTATTGAAACCACAGGCAGCAGCCCTTCCTGTGTCTGACCCATCCCCTCCCCTCCAGCACTGCATTCTTTCCCTGGTCTCTGGACTTCATCTCTGCCCCTCCCTCCATTCCTTGGGCTGGTCTGTGTCTCTCTGTTTGCAAATTCTCCCCATCCTCCATTTTCCTGTGTCCTTTTTCTCTGTTTTCCCCCTTTTGTTCATACTGTCTTTGTCTGTTCCTGTTTCTCTCTGTCCTTTATGCTCTGTGCTCAGGGTTTCTCTGGCAGCCATTCCCTCTCTCTGGGCCTAGAAAAGTCAACTGGAGCCTGGGTCCGCCTCCTTAGGTGTGGTCCCCACCTCACTCTAGCCTCCAGGGTTATTTTTACTCCTGGATAAGGCTGTACTACAGAGATCCTGGCCTCATGTCCTGTGTGAGGATTATCAGGAGCCACAGGATTTGTCTAAGAGACCTGATAATGGGAGCGAGGAGTTTGTGGGACTAGAGGGGTGGCCTTAGCTTCCCAGGCCTCAGCCTTGCAGGTCCCTGCCCCCACTTCCTTGCCAGGAAGGAAGCTGCTGAGGCCGGAGACTCGGTAGGAGATGAATCACACTCAGCCGAGGGGGAGGTGTCCCTTGGGAGATGAGGTCACTGCTTGCCAATTACAGGGCAGCCCCTTCTGCAAGGCCCTCCCTCTCTAGATTGAGGCTCAGGACCCCTTGGGTCCCCAGTCAGCTGCCAGAAACAGCTTGAATGGAGGTGTAGTGAACCAGAATACTGGCTTCCAAACTCTGCCCCACCTCTCCTGTCTTAGACTACTCCACTCAGGAACCCAGGAGTCCAGGTCTTTATCCTGCAGTTCTAGTTCCACCAAAGTCTCACTTGCATCCTATCTCTCTAGGACTCACATCCTCCAAGTCCTCCAAGACCCATTCCCTCAGCCTTCTCCCACCTCTCCTTAATCTCTAGGAAACCAGAAGCCTGCCTTTGTCAAAAAAATTTCCCATTGTTCTGCTCTAGGTTTGACCCAGGCCTAAGGGGGAAGAATCCAGTTCTGGGGATAGCTTTTAGTGGGGACAGGGACAGTGTGAGTGTCATAACTAGGTGGAACACAACTGGGCTGAGAATAGGAAGTGTTGAGAATGGCCTGGGACAAGTGGTGTATACCAAGCCTAACCTTGGAGTGGGGAATTGCTTTTCAGGCTGGAAGTGATGGGGCCAAGATTGGGAATTGCCCCTTCTCTCAGAGACTGTTCATGGTGCTCTGGCTCAAGGGAGTCACCTTCAACGTCACCACGGTTGACACCAAGAGGTGGGCCCACTTCTGTTCTCTAAACTTCCCTCTTATACACGCATGTATCCATACATACACATACTCACCCACCTGAGTCCTTCCGTATTAAACTCCCCCCCCCAATCAGGAGCCCATTTCTCTTCCTCCATCCCTCTATCCTCCTTTCTAGTTCTTCCTGACCTTTTTTTTCTGTCCTGATACCTGGCCCCTTCCCCAGGCGAACAGAGACAGTGCAGAAGTTGTGCCCTGGAGGGCAACTCCCATTCCTACTGTATGGCACTGAAGTACACACAGACACCAACAAGATTGAGGAATTTCTGGAGGCAGTGCTATGCCCTCCCAGGTATATGGGTACTTGGAAAGGGAGAGTGATAGCTGGTAGAGTTTGGAGAACACAGTTTGAAGAAATAGAAAACAGAGATGGTGGTGGGGTGAGGGAAGGAGAGCTAGGTGGGGCTTCTCCCAGGAAGGAATCTTATCCCTTTTTTCTCCCACCGGCTTTCAGGTACCCGAAGCTGGCAGCTCTGAACCCTGAGTCCAACACAGCTGGACTGGACATATTTGCTAAATTTTCTGCCTACATCAAGAATTCAAACCCAGCACTCAATGATAGTAAGTTTTATGGATCAGAGGGCCTGGGTCCTGGAGGAAGAGAGAAGACCCAAGGTGGAGAGGCATTAGGGGCACCTGGAAGTTTAGAGATAGGGCAGATTTTGGCAAAACTCTTCCAGGCTTCCAATTTTGCTTTACCCTTATATTTCTCAGCCTTCTTATTGGCAGAGACTTTTAAGGCTCTCATTTGCTCCCTACCCTCTTCTGCACTCCTGAAGACATTAGATAGTTGCTGATCTGTTTTCTGGCAAAATAGAATTTTGCTGAACAACAATCCAGACCACCTGAGTACAAATCCAACTAGCTTTGTGACTGTCAATTCATTTAACCTCTAAAAATCCATTTCCAGATTTATAATATAAGGATAATACCTATTTCCTGGATTGATATGAGAATTAAGTGAGGTTTTGTTTCTAAATTACTTAGAATAGGTGGGCTGAGGATATGACTCAAATGGTAAAGAGCCTGCCTAAAATGCTCAGAATAGGGCTGGGAATGGGGATGTAACTCAGTGGTACAGAGCTTGCCTAGCATGTGCAAGACTCTAGGTTTAATTCCCAGCACTGCCTCAAAATAAAAATAAATAATAATGATAACAAATATTATTCTAAGCACTCTTTTTTTTTTTTTTTTTGTGATGCTTGGGTTTAAATCCAGGTCCTCACACATGTTATCAGTCTACCACTGAGCTACATCCCCAACCCTGTTTACTATTATTTTGCCATTAGCCATAAGCTAATGCCCCCTCCCCCCAACACACACAAACAGCTTTCCATTGGTCTTCTTGAGCAGATTCTGTCTTCTCTCGATGTTCTAATTAGCTGCTTCTCTTGCACAGATCTGGAGAAGGGGCTCCTGAAAGCCCTGAAGGTCTTAGATAATTACTTGACATCTCCCCTCCCAGAAGAAGTGGATGAAACCAGTGCTGAAGATGAGGGCATTTCTCAGAGGAAATTTCTGGATGGCAATGAGCTCACTCTGGCTGACTGCAACCTGTTGCCAAAGCTCCACATAGTGCAGGTGGGTGGTCAGTATTGGAGCAGAGGATAGCTGCTGGGATGGACCTCCCCCGTGGGCTTCCATGACAGCCACTTCAAAGGTGGCTTCTTTCTTAGGGTGGTTTCCATAGATTGCTACCAATGGCACACTCCAGCCCAACAACCCCAGCTCAATCCACAGCAGTTGTTACCTGAGGAGAGAATTCCATTTCATGATATAAACCTTGCAAACACAGGGCCTGATGACGAGTAGCACATTCCGGTATGACTTTCAAGAAGGCTCTTCCTGTCTGTGTATCCTTCCCAAACCCCAGATCAGACAAAGCAGGCTTCTCCTGAGTCAAAGCTGTAGCTCTTTTTATAGCTTTAGTTAGTCTCCACTTCCTATTGACGAAGATGAAAAATGCTGCTTCCCATGTTTTTGTCATATTCACAAAGCTATAGTGTAGTTTTTGAAGCATAGGCCCAATGCCAGTCTGCCGTAAACTGGATTAATGAACATCTATACACTAGGCACTGAAAGGCAAAAGATGTTTTGTGATTGGTCCTTAGCTACAAAGGCTGAAATCTAGCAGAAGATAAACATTCACAATTAAGTTAACTAATAATACATGAGTAGGACTGGTGGAATAGCTCAAGTGATAAGAGTGCCTGCCTAGCAAACATGAGGCCCTGAGTTCAAACCCCAGTACTGCCCCCCCCCAAAAAAATCCATGATAATATATGATTAAAAGTCAAATGAAAAGTAGAGACAAAAGTCACTGCAAATTAAGAGGAGAATTTTATGGTCTATGAATTTCCTCTTTTTGTTTTATTTGTTTTTATTTTTTTGTTTTGGTGCTGTGAATGGTACTAGGGTCTTGAACATCCTAGGTATGCACTATGGCACTGAGCCATACCACCAGCCTATGTCTTATTTAAAAAAAAAAAAAAAAAATATATATATATATATATATATAATCAAGAGGAGAAAAATTGAACCATGGAAATGGATGGTCTGGAAAGGGACTGTGTTTTTGGGGGAGGGGGGGTTAGTGAGACTGGTTTTAACACAGTCTTGCAAAGCAGGTGCTCTATCACTTGGGCCACACCTCTGCTTCATTTTGTTCTGGTTATTTTAGAGCTGGGTTCTCTTGAACTAGTCCAGGCTAGCCTGGAATAGTGATCCTCCCAATCTCAGTCCCCCAAGTAGTTAGGATGACATGGATAAGCCACTATTGCCCAGCTGGGCTGGTTATTAATGGCAGGGATTTCATTAAGTGAAGAGGAAGGATGATGACATTACGAGAGTGAGGAGTTCAGAAAACCAATTGGAGAAAACGATTTTGTATGGGAGATAAGAATCTGGAAAGACACAGGGTGTGGAGGTGCACACTTGTTATCCTAGCACCCAGAAGGCTAAAGCAGGAGAATCTCAAGTTCAGGGCCAGTCTGGGCTACATAATGAGTTCTTGGCCAGCCTGGGCTGTATAGTGAGACTCTGTCTCAAAAACCAGAAGAATCCATAGTAAGAGAAACCAGATGGTAGAGGTTCTTGCATGCCTGAACAAGAAGGCTGATTTTATCATGTCAGCCATGGGGAAGCATGGCAGCTAAGGTGGCTTCCCTGAGACTAACATGCTGATCTTTCTCCTGTCAACCCCAGGTGGTATGTAAGAAGTACAGGGGATTCACCATCCCTGAGGCTTTTCGGGGAGTGCATCGGTACTTGAACAATGCCTATGCTCGAGAAGAATTCGCCTCCACCTGTCCAGATGATGAGGAAATTGAGTTGGCCTATGAGCAAGTGGCCAAGGCCCTCAAATAAGCCCCTCTTGGGGTTTCCTCACCCCCTCCATGTTCTCCACAGAGGCCCTGGGTGGTTTCCACATTGCTTCCAATGGACACACTCCAAAATGGCCAATGGGCAGAGAATCGTGGGGCACTTGTGCGGGATTGGGGGCAGGGTCTGGGGAAAAAAAGATAAGGGTAAAATTTTTATTGTGGGGTGGGATGGGTAGGACAATGTATTTCAGTAATAAAATGCAGAATGAAAATACAGTGTTTTTACACAAAGGGGACTTGAAGTGTGGTTGACACAGAATGAGAGATGAGTCAGTGATCTTGAGCTCAGGGCAGAAGTCAGGAATTAAGAAGGGTTCTTTTTGTGGGGGGTTGCCATTTTTAGTGCCGGTCCACTCTGGTGCTGTCCTGAGTCCACGCCGCATTTGCAGTCCCGCCGCCCCGCCGTCAGGGCCAGCCAGCTCTGGGTGGGCGCGGGCAGCGCTTTCCTGGCGAGGCGGTGCCGAGTTCGGGGGAAGGGGGCGCAGTCCTGGTGGAATGGGCATGGCCTAGCAGGGCGGAATAGGCGTGGTCTGGGGAGGCCCCGCCCCGTCCCGCTTAGACAATGCCCGGGAGCCGCCAGACCGTCTCGCCCCCGCCCCATCGTAGTACGTGAGCTCGCCTACCCAGCGACCCCCTCAAAAGCTCGAGCTCCCAGTCTCTCTGGCTTGAAACTACGACTCCTTCACCAACTCTGTCCTTTGGGGGTGGGGTCCAAGCTGAGATCACAGCGCACCAGGAGTGGGAGTGCCACTGGAGGTGAGTCTGGGGAGGGAGCTTGACCCCCGTATGGGGACTGTAATTTGGGGGTGCTATACCCGTTCCTGCACCGGAGAGCGTGCGGGGAACCGGCATTTGGGTGCGGAGCTGGGCGAGGTGGACTTTGGTGGAAGATGGACCAAAGGATACCCGGTCCTGGAGCCAGGAGTGGCGCTGGCGCCCCGGAACCACGCCCCCGTTTCCACGCCCCTTGGATTTCGTTTTAGACCTCTCCCAGTCCTCCGGGACTCAGTCTGGTTTACACTGGGTCGCGCTAGGGGCAGCGTGACTAGCCAGGGTGGAGAAAGGATGCTTAACTCCTTAGGCTCTCATTCTTCCCTCCCTGTCCCCTCCCTCCCTTTCTCTTTTGGGCATTCAGTGACTTCCATCCCTCAGGCCCCTACGACTCCCCAGCTTTCTCCTTCTGTCCCATAACCCCTGCGGGTCCCTGGCCGGACTTCGGGTCCCTCCAGCAGCGAGCAGCAGAGGGTTAAGGGGGCGGGGCCGCTGCATTTTTGGGGAGTGAGCGTATCCTAGTGGCTGCCAAAAGGGGCGCCCGGCAGGGACCTCACTGAGCCCCAGAGCGGGGCAACAGGTGTTTTTGGAGATTAGGAATCCTAGTCTTGTTCCTTGGGTTCTTCTTAAAGAAGCAGATCCGCGGTGGTGCGGTGTGGAGCGGGGTCTACCCAGAGGAAGATCTGGAAGGGGTGGGGCGAAGTAGGAGGAGCGCCTGGAGATGGCAGAAGGAAGACCCAGGCGCTTTTAACTCCCCTCCCTCCCCCACGTCCTTCTCTGCATGTTTGTTTTCTCTGCTACCCCCGTCTTCTGTCTCTTCTCCCAGACAGGTGAAATAAAAAGAGAAAACTGAGAAATCAGCTTGGCCGGAAGGGGCATCTGTGTGGATGGGATGGGGACGCCGGGGGAGGGGCTGGGTCGCTGCTCCCATGCCCTGATCCGGGGTGTCCCCGAGAGCCTGGCGTCGGGGGAAGGTGCCGGGGCTGGTCTTCCGGCTCTGGATCTGGCTAAAGCTCAAAGGGAGCATGGGGTTCTGGGGGGTAAACTGAGGCAGCGACTGGGGCTGCAGCTGATAGAACTGCCTCCAGAGGAATCACTACCGCTGGGACCGCTGCTTGGTGACATGGCCGTAATCCAAGGGGACACGGCCCTAATCACGCGGCCCTGGAGCCCGGCTCGTCGGCCTGAGGTGAGCACTAGGGGCGCGAGTGTGGTGGAGGAAGGATGGAAAGAGCTGAATGTTTGGAGTTTGAAGGAAGAATTGGTAGTGGGAATCTCTCAGCCCTGCCCTCTCTTCTACTGCCCTAAGATTGATGGAGTTCGCAAAGCCCTCCAGGATTTGGGGCTCCGAATTGTGGAGATGGAGGATGAGAATGCGACTCTGGATGGCACTGACGTTCTCTTCACCGGTGAGACTATGGGTTGCCGGCACCCCTGGGGCTTGGCACAGAGAAGAAGAGTTTGGGAAACCAGTTGGTCTCAGGCATTGTTTCCAAACTCACTCCAGCTCTCAAACCTCCACGGCCTCCCTGGGGTCAGGCCGGGAGTTTTTCGTAGGTCTCTCCAAGTGGACCAATCATCGAGGAGCTGAGATCGTGGCAGACACGTTTCGGGTGAGGAGTCAGAACAGCCTTGGGAGGGAGCGGGGCTCAGGTGCTAGCAGGAGCGGCCTAGGGGCCCTCTGAGGAGAAAGGCTGAGAGCAGCCTGTTTGAGGGTATCCCCTTGCCCCTCCCGCGCCCCTTAATACCTCCCCCTTGCTCTCCCTAGGACTTCGCCGTTTCCACTGTGCCGGTCTCGGGCCCCTCCCACCTGCGCGGCCTCTGCGGCATGGGGGGACCCCGTACTGTGGTGGCTGGCAGCAGCGAAGCTGCCCAAAAAGCTGTCAGGGTGAGGAGGGGCGGGATGGGAAGGAAGAGGGCGTGACCAACGAAAATAGGCGTGGCTCCTGGCAGGGGAAGCCCCGCTGGGAGACTCTAATAGACCCTTGTCCTCACCAAGCTGTCTATCTAGTATGAAACAAGAGGGTACAGAGTAAATAAGAGGGTACGAGAGCGGGACAGGGGAGCTGTCTTGGGGTCAGGAGCAATTCATTTATTCTTCTGGAGTTTTATGAAACTCCTCAAAGTTGGCATCTAAATTGTGACTTATAAGATGGATGGGACACATGGGAGAAGTGGAGAAGAGGGTTGCGGATGAAAAGAACTGCATTATGAGTACGAGGTGGAAATTAGAAAAAGCAGAGCGCTTCCAACCAAAAGTAACTAAAGCATTTAGGATACTGTCTGACACAGTAAGCGTTATGTGCCTGCTGTCATTATCCAACAAATGTAACTCTGTCCCAGGTCCTTAATAGCACCCTTAGTGGTAGGGCAGGCAAACTCAAATATGGAGAACTCCGTAACTTGAACACTTCCTCTTTCCTCTTCCTCAGGCAATGGCAGTGCTGACAGATCATCCATATGCCTCTCTGACCCTCCCAGATGACGCAGCTGCTGACTGTCTCTTTCTGCGTCCTGGGATGCCTGGTGTGCCTCCTTTCCTCCTGCATCGTGGAGGTGGGGACCTGCCCAACAGCCAGGAGGTGAGGAAGGGCAAGAGCTCCACCAACCAGACAAAGAAGTCTCAGTCTTTCCCAACGTGAGGAAGGAGTGGGAGTGTCTTTAGAAGCCAGCGTGGGGCCACTATGAGCTGGCTGGAAAGGGTGTGTGGCTCTGGCCTCAAAGTCTTACTCCCCTCTCTGTGTCCTCCCTGTAGGCACTGCAGAAGCTCTCTGATGTCACCCTGGTACCTGTGTCCTGCTCAGAACTGGAGAAGGCTGGTGCTGGGCTCAGCTCCCTCTGCCTGGTGTTCAGCACACGCCCCCACAGCTAAAGGCCTGGCCTTGGGGTTTTGGCTAGCCAGGGGTAAGGCAGCACAAGGAGAGTAGAAGGGAAAGGAGGGTTAGACAGAGGATGATGAGTAGGTAATAGTGAGGAGAGGGCCCCAGGAAGAGGGAGGGCATAGTGGGGACAAAGGATAGTGGCCACTGGGTGAGTCCTCTAGACTGTCAAAACCAATAAAATAGAATTGGCCTTTTAGATTGGACTGTGACTGATGTTTTACTGGGGCAAAGGGATGGGTGGGGCTGAAACCTAAGGTTGGAAGGGGTCAGTGCTGGAAAGAAGCACTGTTCAAAAAACCTTCATTAGGCACCTACTGACTCATCGTCCAACCCTGACATAGGTTGGACACAAGAGGGACAAGACAGAATTTCTATTGTGACATGTCCAGGGCAGTAATGGGAATTACGGTCAGATCATTCTGAATTCATCTAAATGTCAGATGACTCAGAGACTGGTAGATTACAAGTCTACCTTTATTTGACAGAGAAGAAATGATGTTTCCAAGGACATCTCATTTTCATTCACTCATTTACTGAAACTTAGCAGTAATATAGCAAAAGAGTCAGTTGCCTGATGTCAGGAAACTCACAGTACACAAAAATGTCTTACTTACAAATTGAAAACAGGTTGTGATGGAAGAATTTACAGGAGGGGGTTTTATGAGAAAAAAATAAGTGGGCTCCCTAGAGCATAAAAGTTTTATGCAGGGGTGGGCAACAGAGTCATGAAAACTTCCCAGAAAAGTCTATATTTGAACTAAATCTTGAGCATAAATAAAAATTAGGCAGGTAGTGAGTAGGAAAAGGGTAATCTAGGAAGAAAGAAATGCACCAGGCAAAGACATATTGTAGGACTTTCTCGAAGACTGGCATATTGTGAGCATGTGGAATGACAGAGATAAGTCTGGAGAGTGAACAAAATGTTGTAGCACCTTGTACCAAAAGACACCACCTATGGTCCCAGAGCTGAAGGCTAAGGAGAAAAAATATTGTAGTTCTGAAATAAGTGCTTGTCAAGAGTAGGTTCTTGGGGAGGCTCTTGCTGGTCTCTTCAAGGGCAGGAGGATGAGGTGGGGCTATGGGTCACCCAGGAAGGAAATGAGGAAAGTACATTCTGTTGGCAGTACTGGACATGGAAGAGTTAACAGTGACATTAAGACAGAATGACAAGACTCATTGTATGGGAGTGAGAGATAAATGGGGTCTGCATGACTCCCAGTTTCTGGCTTGGGCAACTGAGTTGGTCAAGAGAGAATGCAGAGGATTCAGAGAGTGTCTTGGGCGAGGACTATGAATAGGGTTTGACATGTCACATGTAAAATGCCTGGGGCCAGCTAGACAGGATGTCCTAGATCTGACATCTGGGCTGGAAAGAGCTCTGATCATTTAGGGGCTGAGGATTGGTTGTGCATAGGGGCTTTCCAAAGGAGGGCTAGTAAGAGGGAGAAAGGGACAAACCTAGAATGGGGGGGGACACTTTGGGGACAGAGACAAGGAAGAGGAGTTCAGAAGGAAGATAATAGCAACAATATTAAATGGTTCAATGAAAGGAGTAGTCAGCCAGGCATGGTGGTACACACCTGTAATCCCAGCACTGAGTAAGCAGAAGGATAGAGAAGTCAAGGATAGCCTGGGTTACATGGCAAGTTTGAGGCCAGTGTGAACTATATAGGGAGACCCTGACTCAAAATACAAAAAGAAAACAAGGGAATAATTAAAGGTCAAGCCAGACGAATGCTGAAAAAAAAAAATTCTACTAGGACATCACTGACAACCTTATGGGGAGTAGATAAGCAATTCCAGCCATGAGCTGTGAGAGTAAAGTGAAGGAGAAGAAAATGAAAGAGGCAGGTGTATGTCACTGGTTCAAAGAACTTGATTCTGAAAGGAAGGGAAAGGGAGGGGGGAAAGAGGGCAACTATATGGGAGTTACTGATGTCTTAGGATAGGGAGACAGGGCTTGATCAGGCTTGGAGAGGACATCAGTGGTGAAGGAGACGTGGAAGTTACAGGAAAGATGAGAGTAACTGAAGGAGAAAGATTGGTGGTAGAGACAGCCTGGAACCCAGGTCTTTATAGACTCCCAAACCAGTGCTCATTTCTATTCCACAGTGCCTTCCTCTTCTAGGTGAGAGGCCAAGAAGGGGATGGGGGGTATGGAGAGCTGGGAGACCCCAGTTTGGGAATTTTGGAGCTAGGACTTCCCTTCAAACTACAACTGCATAGACGGTGGAGGAATCACCAGGGACCACTTCGGACAGCCGCCAGGGCCTCCTGAGAGCCACATGGTCCAGGTCCGCGTAGTGCAGGCTCTGAAGGAGGCAGGGGAAGAAGGCAGGATGATCTCCTTGGTCTGACGCCTTGGGATCCAGGGGTGGCCTCTAACTCTAGATCCTCCAGCCTTAACCTACTGAGTTCTGGGCTCATAGGCAAGCACCACAGCTCCCGCTTTCTTGGTACACTTTCCTCAGGGAGTCTAGCCAGCCCTCTTACAATTCCCAATCTCTTACCGGCTCCTGGTCCAGGTTCCCTGGAATCTTGGGCTCCTCCTCCTCCTCTATGTGCCTCTGGGACTCGGCATTCACGAAGGGAGCTATGTGGGAGGGATAGAGCTGAAGGATGAAGAGAAGGCGTCCAACTTGTCTGATTCCAGCAAGGGCTCAGACTCGAGAATTGAGGGATGGGGGAATGTGCGGGTAGGAGAGGAAAAATGGGGTGGAGTTAGTCTCACCAAATGTGGGGAGTGGTAGAAGCGGGTGCGGGGGCGAGCGCCTGTAAGGGAGTATGAATCTTTGAGTCACCAATCTTGTTGCGCTGGTTCTTCTCTGCCGCAGGCGGCGCCAACGGCAACTCTGCAATTTGCAGACTCGGATCCGCAAAACAACTTTAGGCTCCTCCCCTCAGAAAGTCCTACTGCACTTCTAGCTTCATCCCTAGCCAGGGCTCTACACACCAGTCTACTGCCTCGCTCCCAATGCTGACCTCTTGTATTCTCCAAGCCACAACCAAGCCTCTCCAGATCTTTTCTTGGCTAAAGTTCAGGTCCTGCCCCTCCCGCCTCTGGTCACGCCCCCTTAAACCCAGCCCCGCCCCTCATACTCACCTGCGCAGCCACCAGACCGCGCCTAACGCTCCCAGTCCCAGCACCAGCCCAGCGCCCAGCAGCGGGATAAGGACCTGGGGATACTTCGACCCTGGGGGAACGGCGCGGCGGGGAGGGATGCCAAGGTCAAGGGTACGACCACAGAGTTAGCTCTCCCCCTAAGCAAGCCCCCCCCCACCGCTGTCTTTCCGGGTTGTGTGTTCGAATTACATTCCCCTGTTTGTACATGCCTCTACCTACCGTGTTTAGAACCTGGGTCCCTACACTGGGCCTTGTCTCCCAGCACGTGAAGCACTGTACGGCTCTCATTCTCGTAGCGACCCTTGCAGAAAAAGGTGCCCGAATCCCCAGCACTCAAGAGCAGCTCCAGCCGCCGAATACCAGGGTCCAGGGAGCGTAGGCGGCCGGTGAAGCGCTGGAAGGGGGGCACAGTCGGGATGCCACTCGACGAGGCCCATAGAATCGGGCGGCGTCCTTTGGTCAGGCCCTTGCATGCGGGAAAGCTAGGCGCCCAAGTCCAGCGGATGGGGTGTGAGACCCCTATGCAGGAAAGATTCACCCGGTCCCCAGGGCTGCCGACCAGAGAAGCTGGGGGGGGGGGAGGCGGCAGGCGGTGGTTAGGGATAGTTGACAAAGCGAGATGATCCATCACCACCTCATTTCTTTACTCTGCCCTCCTGCCATTCTGGACCTTCTTCCACGTATCCTACTCTCCAGGAGCCCCTATCCTGCCTCAGCCTTTCTTCACCCATCAAAAACTTTGTCTGGGATCGCTTACCCCCTGGGTCCCCATGGGCCTTCGAGAGCAGCAGAGGCAGCAGCTGCAGAACCAGAACCATGGCTGAGATGTGGTGGGGATAGGTGGAGAGTGAATCAGCGGGGGAGACCGGAGGGAAGCCCAGGGCAGTGGCGGTGGCAGCGGGGAGGAAGTGGGTGGTACTGGGGGGCCATGACAAGAGAGGTGGAGGGGGCTGGTGGAGTGGCTCAAGTGGTAGAGTGCCTGCCTAACAAGCATGAGGCCCTGAGTTCAAAGCCTCAGTGCTATTAAAGGAAGGAAGGAAAGAAAGAAAGAAAGAGAGAGAGAGAAAGAAAAGAAAGAAGTGGAGAAGGCGGGAGGCAGAGGCATCAGCAGCTGCATCAGCAGCTCCATCCCCCTGAGAATCTTCACAGGCAAACGCCCAGGCTTCAAAGATGCTCACTTAAAAATTTGTACTAGGAGCTGGACTTGGTGGCTCATGCCTGTAATCTTAGCTACTCAGGAGGCAGAGATCAGGAGGATCTCAGTTCAAAGCCAACCCCAGGCAAATAGTTCCTGAGACCCTACCTCAAAAAACAAACCATCACACACACACACACACAAAGTGCTGGTGGAGTGGCTCAAGTGAAGGCCCTGAGTTCAAATCCCAGTACTGAAAAAAAATTGTGCTGGGGCCGTTTATACAAGTACTTTTGTCTGCTTAATTCCTCCAGCTTAGCAGTGGCCATGAGCACCATAAATTCTGGAGTTCAGCTGCCAGAATTCAAGTCCTGATTTTGCCATCTACTAATTGGGCTATGCTGACAAGCCGCTAAACCTCTCTGCCTGTTGGTTCACCTGTAAAATGGAGATTAAAGTACCTATTTCATAGGGCATTGTGAGAACTAAATAAATACACATAGAATAATGGCTGACATATAGGAATACTACTTAAGTGATTGCTATTTTTATTACTATTTCCATTCTTTTTCCTGCCTTCTTTCCTTCCTTCCTTCCTTCCTTCCTTTTCTCCCCCCGAGGGACTGGAAGGCATTCTACCACTTGAACCACATCTCCAATCCATTTTGCTCTGGTTATTTTTGGAGATAGGATCCTGTGAACTATTTCCCCTGGATAGTCTCCAACCCCAATCCTCCCAATCTCAGTCTTCCAAGTGGCTAGGATGACAAGTATGAGCCACCAGCAGCGCCTAGCCCATTCTTATTTTAGCTTCTACCTAGCCTCTCCATGCCCACGCCGAACCTCCCCTCCTGGGATGCCTCACCCAAGTGAAGTCTCAGGAACCCTCAGCAGACCTAAGGTAGCACCTCCTTAACAGTTGTGCTGGGGCGTGGTCCCGGATGCCCAATTCCAGTCCCTCCCACCATACACACCCTCTGCTGTTATGATATCACAGAAACCCCCCCTTATGTCACAAACCTCTCCTCATAGTTGGGAAGACCAAGTGGGAACTGACTCAAGATTAATTTGACCTCTTCTATCCTCAGTTTCTAACTGCATGCCCCTACCAATGCCCCTCAGGGACCCAACATTGGCAATCAACTTGGGCCACATCCCATTCTATTTCCTAGCAATCAACAGAAGCTACCACTATGGCCATTTAAATCAGACACCTTTTTCTTGCTCCTTCAGAGGACTGGGCACTGAGGGTCCTGAAACCAAGAACCAAAATGGAGGTGGCCAAACTTAAAGGACACGTGCCCTTCCCCTAATCGTCCCTCTTGCCACCGTCTCATCCCACCCAGGAACTGCGAGCACCTCCCACCTCGTCCCCTCTGGTCAGCTGTGTGTAAATGGGGAGGGAGGTGCCAGCAGAGGGAGGGAAGGGAGGGGCCTTTGGGATTATATATTCCCCAAAAGCCACCCACTCTCTAGACTGGATCCGGAACATCACTCCATCAGCTCTGGGCTGCTACCTCATCCAAGATTCCCAGGAAAGCTCTGCTTCTCACCCTGTCTGCTCTATTCTGCTGGGTCTCAGGTGAGTACCTGGGGTCCCCCCCCAGGACGTTCATCAGTTAGGTACCTGACCCCTTGCTTATCCACTGCCATCTACGTACCCACTCCTGCAGGTATCCAGCACCCACACCCCACACCCCACCCCCTGGCTCAGTTCCTGGTGCCTCCAGGACCAAGACTCTCTGTGATAGGCTCCTTGCCCCATTTCTTAAGGACCCAGATTCCATAATCCCATTCCCGCCTCAACTCCCAAAATGACCCACTTTCACTGCAGGGATCCAGTTCTATTTCTCACTTAAAGGTGCCCCCTTTCTGGAAACTCTGATATCCAGTTCTCCCACCAGCCCCAATCCAGTACATAGTTCTCCAGGATTCAGCTAACCTCCTGTCTTCTCTCAACCTGCACTCAGCAGAGTGTCCTCTCAGAGATCCAAGCATCCAGATCCAGACTCCTTTTGGTCCCCATTCTCTCCACCTTACTTCATCAGGGATATTTAGGTACTCAGCCGTAGCTCTTCCTAGTGTACCACTGTCCCCTGCTGGGTTCAGCATCTATCTCCCCTCTACCAGGATTGCAAAGCTCTGGATAGTTCCAGTGACCTCTTAGAACCTCCCAAAGGAAGCAGGAATTTTTCCTGAGCCTTCTAGGGAAATTCTAGAGCACTCACTCTTAGAAGATGATTTCTAGAGGACTTGCCACGGCTCCTCCACCCTTGGACTGACCCTTTCTTCACCTAACCTTGCATGCCAAATCTTGAATTAGCTGAAGCAAGAACCCGCAGTACCCACCTTTATGCCTCTCAACTCTCCATTTTTTTGTCAGTGCGTAGATGGAGTCCTGATGATCGTCTCTCAAGGATATCTTTCTGCCTAACAGCAGTAGTAGAGAAGCGTCCATTCAGGACTGGTTCCTCTTCCCATGCTCTTGGCAGCCCTGAAAGGTGAAGAGTAAATTGCTAAACCTGGCCACAGGTGGCTTTCTTGTAGTCTCAATTTGAAGTCATTTCTGAAAGCACTGTAACCTTCATGCTTCTTATTTTTCGTATTTCTTCCTATTTCAAGTCTCCATCCTCTCCTCTAACCTTTCCCCAATCTTTTCCCCATGCTTTTCTCAAATTCCAGCTATCTCTTGTCCCTTGTTTTTGTTGGTATCTATGCTCCTCTTGACTCATCCCAAATGGAGTGGGGTGGAGGAAGATATTTAGGGTGTGGGCTTTACACAAAGAACAACTCCACCCTCACCTACCGCCCACTGTCCACTTTCACCACATCACTCACTGCTCTGTTCCTAGGGACCAAACAGGTCAGAGTGCCTACTTGATGGGCTCTTCACCCCACCCTCAACTTATCTTATCTCCATCACCTTAGCCTGACTTGTGTCTCCCCAGCTGACATCCGCTGTCATTCCTGCTACAAGGTCCCTGTGCTGGGCTGTGTGGATCGGCAGTCCTGCCGCCTGGACCCAGGACACAAATGCCTGACGACAAATGTGTACCTTGGTAATATCCCCATCTTTGGGGGGAGGAGCAGGCGGGACATAGTTTCTAGGACACAGGCCCATCTAGGGCTAAGACTGAGACAGAACAGATAATTTATAGCAGTGATAACATTTGGTCAAAGGTGACTGTGTGCCAGGCACTGGCCTGTCTGCACATGCACTATTTCAATGAGTTTCATGATATCTCTATGATGTAGATGCCAGTATTATACTGAGGAGACAGATTCAAAAACAGACAAGAACAGGCCCATGGCCTCATGGTCAGCAGTTACTAGAAGCAGGATTGGGAGTAAGGATATGGAAATACAGGAGACTAAGAAGAAATAAAGAAGAGAAGGCAAGGCAGAGTTAGGAAGGAAGGAAGCCTGGGTGGGAGTACGGTGTGTGGGGTGAGTGGACACAGGCATGCCAAATGACCATCCTCACTTAACTTCCTACCCACTCCTATCCTTAGGGAAGATGTGGGTTTTCTCCAACCTGCGCTGTGGCACACCAGAAGAGCCCTGTCAGGAGGCCTACAACCAAACCAACCACAAGCTAGGCCTGAACTATAACACTACCTGCTGCAGCAGTGACAACTGCAACAGCCTGGCCCCCCGGGCCACTCCTACTCTGGCTCTTGTCTTCCTCACTTCCTTGACTGGTCTTGGCCTCTGGATGCTGCACTGAGGCTCACTCCCTGAGTGAGCCTCTTCCCACCTGCTTAAGCCTGAGCCTCTCAGAACCCCTTGCTTCCCAGAATGGTCTCTCCCTGGCTCTCCTTCCTCTGAAGAGCATGTCCCAAGTCACTTCCCATTTCTATAATGAGACAGCACCCAAAGTGGTCTCCCTATCCATCTCTTCCACCCTGAACCCTGTACTATGTTTTTCCTGAGTGAGTCACTTCCTATTTCCCTCTAAACCACTCTATATCCTCCACTGGTCACTGAAGGGCTCCCCGCTTTGTCTCCAGCACTCTACTGTGCCCTCTTCAGGGAAGGACTGGGGTCTGGGTCTGGGGTGTCTGTCCCATCCCCAAAGAAAGCACTCAGAAAGAACCTGATGACCCCCTTGCATGGGGCTGATTGTGTAAAACCTCTACTCACCTCTTTGCATTTTGAGTAATAAATGTCTGTATCTGATAAATTGTGCATTTATTGTCAGAAGACCTAAGTGTTAGTGTTCCATCCCCTTAGAAATTACACTCTCCCCCTTGCCAAAGAATCCTTTAGGGATTTTCCTCTGGGAGGTTGAGCTAGGGCAAATGGTAGAACAGGTTTTTCAGGCCTCCATCCTCCCAGTATCTGAGGGTGGCACACAGGCCCCAGTGTTTGGAGAAACAACCCTTATCCTAAATTTAGACCACACCCTGGTGTAAAAGGTGTAAAAGGAGGTGCAGTTTGGTTTGAGGGTTCCCCAGAAAGGGTAGGAGAGGAGCATGGGGGTGGGGCTCTGGTCCCTCTTTCCTGGTTCTCTGAAAGTCTAATAGGGTATCCAATCAACCCTCTTATCACAGAGCTTACATTTCCTTTCTTGACTCAAAACAGCCTTATCAGGAGCCAACTTGCAAATAGGGGAAAGGGGAAAAAACCCAGACAGGGTTATGGAATCCTGGTCAACCCCACTCAAGTCAGGGCCTAATCCTCTCCAGTGATCCTCATTGTTAAGGAAGATTCTCCCTAGCAACAGCTTCCAGGAGTGACTGGGGGCAGATTCTCCACCCTCTTTGGGGGTGTCATTGGTTAAGGAGTGCACCTTTGTAACTAAGTCCACTGATGAACTGGGAACCCACAAAGTAGAAGCTGTCTGCCCCCATATTACCCTTTCTGCCTTCCCATCAACAAATGATAGATGAAACTTTCCAGTCAGCTCTAAAATAGTCTAAAGATTTTAATGACTCCCAGAGGAGTACTTGTCTCCTCACCTTAGATGTTCAGAACTCCCTCATTCCCTTACTCCCTCCCTTCCTTCCCTACCCTTCCTCCCACTACCCACTCCACAGTTCTGGCAAGAGCCAGGCCAGGGTGGTGGCTGCTGCAGCCAAGATGCATGCAGGGGCCACAGTGTTTGCCACAGCACTGTTGCACAGGTCTCCGAGGCAGCAATTCTTGTGGGTTGTGTAAGTCACATCTCCCACCGACTCTGTTTCCACTTGATTGCAATGATGGATGGCCACGCAGGTGGGATGGTGATGACTCAAGGTCACTGAGGCTGAAAAAGAGAATAAGACTGGGGTGTTTGGAGTCCAAGCTTTAGGACTTGCCTTCTAAGGCAGAGATGATGTGTTTTCATGGAGTCCAGGCGGGTTCTCTGCCTCCTCAAAAAACACCTCCCTGAAACCAAGTGATAGCACATTGACATTGTGCACAGCTGCTCTGATACACTTGAGAACACAACATTATTTCAATGGCATTCTTGCCTAAAACACATGACCTCAGTCTCATTGTGTGAAAATAGCAGGTAAATCCAAAGCCAAGGACAGACTATAAAATAACCCATCATAAAAATAAAAAAATATTAGAGTGGAAGCATGGCTCAAGTTGTAGAGCGTCTGTCTAACAAGTACAAGGCCTTGAGTTCAAACCCCAGTACTGCCAAAAAATAAAAATAAAAACATAAAATAATCTACTAGGACTCTCCAAAAGCGTCAAGGTCATGAAAGACAAGAACTGAGAACCTGTGGGCTGGAGGAGTGGCTCAAGTGGTAGAGTGCCTGCCTAGCAAGCAGGAGCCCCTGAGTTCAAACACCAGTACCACCAGTAAAAAAAAGGCATGGAAACAAAATGCTATATGGGATCCTGGTTTGGATCCTCACTCAAGTCCAGAAAATGGATATGAGTTGAACAACTAGGTGAACAGAATAAAGTCTAGGTTAATTAACACTGTTGTACCAACTTTTGTTTGTTTGCTTGTTTTTGCAGTGCTGAGAATTGAACTCAAGGTCTCGTGGCTCTACCAATTAAGTAACTCCCCAAGCCCTATTTTGTTTTTTACCTCTTCTTTTCTTTCTTTTCTTTCTTTTTTTTTTTTTTTTTTTTTTTTATGGTACTGGAGTTTGAACTCAGGGCCTCATGCCTGCTAGGCAAGTGCTCTATTATTTGAGCCAAGATCCCAGACCCTTTTTGCTTTAGTTATTTTTCAGATAGTGTCTGGTGCTTTTTGCCCGGGGCTGGTCTCACACTCAGACCACAATCCTCCTACCCATATCCTCAGCTTCCTGAATAGCTGAGAGTACAGGTATATGCCTCCACACCTGCCCCCCTATTTTCTGATTTTGATAATTGCACTATGTGAGATGTTAGCATTAGGGGAAGCTGGATGGAGGACATATAGGAACTCTCCGTACTACTTTGCAACATTTCTGTCAACCCTAAATAACTTCACAATAAAAATGAAAACATACATTCATATACACACATACTTCTCTGGTCCTTAGCCAGTGCCTGAAAGTTGAAGTTTGGTTTAATATTTTGACTCTGGCCTTAAGAGGCAGAGCTTTTTCCTTTGTAAGGGCCTATGAGGTTCTTTCTGGAGAGGAAAGAGAAGGGAGGTGGGAGCCCAAGGATTGCAGTCTGCTCAGGGGTTCAGTGCCAAGAATCAGAAAGGGTACAGATTACTCTGACTCCAACAGCAGTACCATCTGCCCAGAGCCAGACTGAGCCTGGAAGGTTCTGGAAGCCAGAAGGATTAAAGTGGGTTATGGAGGCAGTGAAGGACTGAGGGAAGAGGGAGAAACTGAGGACTTACGGTTCCCAGAAAGCTTGACTTGTCCCAGGCCTGGTTGGGGTTTGCGCTCCAGGAAGCCACAATGTTCACCCTCGCTGCAGGTGGTCACTGTCTCTTTGCAGGAGTTGCTGGGGCCTCCACCACAGTCATAGCACCGCATGCGGTTTCCTGGCAGGAGAAAAGAGGTGCTGGACCCAGGCCTTCAGGCTAGTCGCTGGCAAAGGGGAAAGACAGGCCTGTGTGAGAGGCATATTGGCCTCTTCCTTACCCAATGCAGCCCCCAGCAGGGCGCTGAACAGGATCCCAACAAAATAGGGGCTCATCAGGTCTGCTTGTGTGTGTACTGCCTCTCCCTCCCGCCCACCCCCCTCCTAAGCCCTGCTCTGCCAGCCTTATATCCCCCTTGCCTCAAACTTTATAGGGCTATAAAGAGAGAGGAAAGAGTCTCCCCCAGCAGGCACTGGGCCCAATAGGAACAGGGAGGGGCTCTCAGCATCCTCTGAAGCCCCAAACTCCCATCCTCAGCAGCAATTCTAAAACTCAGACCCGAGAACTCCCAGGGGTCCCTAAGACTCTTTTAAGGGTTCCTTAAGGTCTTCCTTTTCCAATTCCATATCAGTGTGAGGGTTGGATTTTCTTCATACACTTCAACCAAAACAACATCCCTACAGATGGAATGTAGAAATGGGTATAAAAACCCAGCCATTGTCTATTAAGTCTGCAATTAAATAGATTTGCAAAAAATGTAAAGCAATGGCACTTTCTCCCTGTGCAACTGGGAACTCATAATTATTTTTCATGAAACTGTTTCATTAACATGTAATATTTTTATTGTTTTTACTTAAGTGAATCAGTTAATACCTACTTAAAATGTCTTGTTTTTAACTTTTAATACAGTAAATATTGATATAATCCACGTGAAGAAAAGTTCTTTGGGGTCTTCAGTAATTTTTAAGGGTGAAAATAAAGAGATCCTGACATCAAAGTTTTTGGAAATTGCTGCTCAGTGGATACCTGCATTTCCCCCTCCTTGTACCCCCAGTCTTACTCCTCTTGGTAAGGTGCTTCTTTTGTTGGTGTTGGGGATGGAACCCAGGGCTTCATGCATGCTAGGCAAGTGCTCCATGACTGAGCTATAACCCCAGTCCTGGCCCTACTTCTCTCTTCCTAAATCCTACCCAAGTCTTCCTTTCTAGTCTTTCTGATTCCTCCCCAGTGGTGGAACGCATCTAGCTCTCCAGTTCCACTCATGATTAATTCTTTCCTCCAAGGTAATAAAATAGGGAGGGATAATTAGGGGGTAGGAATGTTGAGGCTTGGGGGGGATCAAAGGTATGCGAGCTGGGTGGGGCACCTCTTCACAGCTAGGCTTTATGGTTGGGGTGTGTGGGTGGGTGCATATTGTTGATTCTACACTCAAACATCACTCTATCCATCTAGGCCAGGGCTGTTTGGGAGTGTGACCTTGAGAGGCATACACATGCTGAAGGAACAGTCAGAGAAAACAAAGAGGAGAGAGAGAACTAAGAACAGCTTGAGACCAGAGGGAGGGTGGGGAGCAGGAGGGAAGGCGACAGACACACTTAGGAGCGGCAGACGGAGCTGAGTTACAGACAAACACTGAGAGAACAGAGAAGACCCTCCAGGCAAGGGCAAGGAGGGGGTGAGAGACTTGGGCGCAAGAACCAAGGGCTGGGGCCCTGCTGCATCAGGCTGATGAATTCTGTTACTGTTCCACCCCCAGATTCTCTCTCTAGGTGTGTTTGTTTACTGGTCCCTCCCTGTCATGCTTAGATGCTCTATCTCAGGGTGCAGATCACATTCTCCCTCACTCCTGAGCCTCTGTCCTACCATGGACATCTCCAGCATTTTCCTCTGTGTCCTGTTCCTCTGTGGGGCACTGACTAAGGGGTGGGCTGGGGAATCTTCAGGGAGCAATGGGCTGGGTCAGGGACTGGCAGAGGAACCTGAGGGCTGGAAGGAAGAACAAGCTGGCAAAGGTAAGAAGAGAGCTGGGGCAACTTTGGGGAGACTGGCCTCAGCCCAGTCTAGTAAGGTGGAAGAGAAGTTTCTTTTCAAAATTATTCCTTGCTGCATCTTTCACCTGCCTCTTTATCTCACCTCTTGCTTCTATGCTGGGCTCCTTCGTCTGATCATGTCAGTTCCTATTTTCTTATCTTTCTCCGGTGCTATCTACCTAACTTTTTCACTGCCCCCACCCACCTCCTCAATGCTCTGGCTTTTTGTGTCACTCTTTAGGTTTGTCTCCAATTCTCTTGGCTTCTATTTATGTCTGGGTGTCTCTAAGTCCCTGTATCCCTCTTGCCTTTGCCTCTGTTTCTTTTCCTGCATGGTTTTCCCTACTTTCTTCATCTACTTTTCTACTTCTGTCTGCCTCTATTTCACGGTTCCTTTCTCCCTCCTTTGTGTGCAACCTCTGGGTGTCCCTCTGCCAGATCTGGGCTCTGCTTTTTTACCTTCTCCTCCCTACCCTGATCTCTGCTGACTCAACAGGTCTCACCAGTTCAACTGCCCACAATCGGCTCCACTGTTACACCTGTAGCTTCGCCAAACCCTGCTATCCTATCTCCACTGAGTGTCAGGATGATGAAGTTTGTGGCATCACTACTGGCACCTCAGGTAAGACTCTGGTCCAAAGGCTCTTCTCCAGGTTGCTCCCTATACCCTCCTTCCTGCCTTTCCTGCTGTCTCTGCCTCAGCATTCGTCCTTTGTCCCACAGACCAGAATGAGATCATCGAGCGGAAAGGATGCCTCCCAAGGGCCCAGTGCATTCTGCCGGGCCATACCGCTTACTGGTTACGCTCCTACACTCTGAGGCACCACTGCTGCGAGCAGGACCTGTGCAATGAGGCCACCTTGCTGCAGCAGCTCCCCAGCCTCCTCCTCACTGCCCTGCTCCTCCTTGTGGCCAGCTTTGCCTGGTGAGGCCACCTCCTTCACTAGCCTCATGTGGATCTGGAGCCCTCAACCCAGGACTCCTCCATCATCACCAGGACCCTGGAACACCTGCACAGACACTTTGGAGATATATCCAAGAACCTGACTTTATACAGAGACCTCAGACTCCTGCCCAGCAGACCCCTTCTAATGCTGATTCCTATAGGCATTATTCTAGCTCCAGCAGGCACCCATCCAGAGTCCAATCTCTTAAGGAACACCTCCTCTGTGTCTTTCATCTCTTCTAGATGCCTGGTGCTGATGCCCTCGCTTAGCCCCAAGGACCCTGCAAGGCAGCTATTTTGAAGGAGCTCTGTGGGTCCTAGGCAAGGGGATGAAGGGCACCAGGTATAGCGAGGAAGTCTTGTTGGGAAAGATGTAACTTGATAGGTGAGGAACTCAGGAAGGAGGGGTCTTAAGAAACTATAAAGAGTATATTTAAGACTGGTGTTATGGCTCAAGTGGGAGAGCACGTGCCTAGTAAGTGCAAGTCCCTGAGTTCAATCCTCAGTACTGGAAAAAAAATGCATTTAATAAAAGGGCTATCTGGCAGCCTGATAATGTACTATGTGCAAGGTGTTGTGTGTTTGTGTGCGTCATGCAGGCATGCGCAGGTGTGCACTCTAAGAATGAACTATAGCTGCTTGTTGGGTTGGGCTGGAGTGTTGGAACCGGAACCACATGTTCCTCATTTTTCATCTGTGTCATTTTCATCTTCCTTCCTGCCAATATCTGAGTTTAAGCTGCTGCAGTGTGAAGGCTGTAAACAAGACTTCTGAGAAAGTGCTTCTCCAGTGAGGCCCAAGCTTGAGCCAAGACTCAAAAGGACACTGATGGAATTGCTTGTGAGGGTGTGGCCTGGAGTCCAGCTCATTTCTGCCTGAGACTAGGGGCTGGACATATTGGCAGCATCAATGCCCTCCTGACTACACCAGCCCAGACTTGTCCACAGTTGACACAGTACAGCATTAACCACCCCGGTAGGGAATTCAACCGCCAGCCCCTGTGACACTCCCTCTGCCCAGGAAGATAGGGTGTGACCCCTGGGCCAAGGGAGACATTGCTCCCAGGGAGTCAGAGGCAGGAGATAAGCTGCTCACACCAATGGAGAGCCACAGGGAAGCATGTGTGCCTAGGATAAGGAGGGGTGTGTGTGGGGGGGATAAGCACAGACACCCCCATTCTGAATGGATTCCCTCCCCTTTCATCTGAGGAAGTCTAGGGGTTGATTAAAGTGCTTGTTCCTTCTCAACTTCTGTTCTTTATGAGGGTGACACTTAGGGGGAGAAGAGGTTTGGCTTAATTTGGAACCATGTTGAATTTCTTTCCATTTTCTCTGTCCCTCAATTCTCCCACTTTGTTCTTCGATTTTTCTCTAGCTCTCTGTCCATATCTTTTCTCTCATTCTAACTCCAATCCCTTCCCTTCTTTCTCAGTTCCACTCTTTATCTTTAGGTTCCCTTATGACTGATACTCCCACCATTGCTCAAATCTGTGGATTTTTCTGTCTCCAGCCTACCCACCCTTACCCCTCCAACCCCCAACAGCTACCGCAGGTTCCCCTCAACTCCATAGTACTTTATGCTCAGGGCCATCCCTCCATTGACTGCTTCAAGACAGGAGACCACATCTTTTCTAGGGTACATAACAGAATAATGCTAATCCCTTCCTTCAGCAGCCCCCACTCCCACACCCCACACAGGTTGTGGCTGCTGGAGGCCAATTGAATTGTAAAGTCACACTTTCAGCATTTCTACCCCTTGCCAAGGTTTTCAGGGAATCCTTCAGGTGCCAGATGGCCAGGGAGATAGCAGTTCACACTTTCAGCAGCAGATGTCACCAAGATCACTTGGTCTTGTGGACTGGTGGGCTGTGGGGTTTGTAAACCAAGGAGTCAGATTAAGGATAGCTCTATTCTCCACCTTCTCAGGAACCAGGGCCCCATCCCCAATCCAACCTCAATGCTTTCTTTCCCATCTACAGACCCTATGGGATTTAAGCCTCCTCCCCCCAACCCCCCTATTGTTCCTCACCTGAGACGGGCCAAGTGGATGTTCTCATAGACCTGGATTTCAGGTTTGAAGTGAGAAATTGAAGCCTCTAGGCAGAAGCAGCCATAGGTATAGAGAAGTCACTAGATAACTCAGAGCTATGTTCCTTTCCACACCTCCCATAAAGAAGAGATGAGATGGGAGGTCACTCAAGTGACCTCTTCTCTCTATGAAAGAGGACTCACCTCTGTTCTGAGCCCCCTGGACCCTCCGCCTCCAGAGCACAATGCCAAGGGTCAGGATGGTGAATCCCTGGCCCACTGCGAGCAACAGCATCAGAATCCAGGGCACATCCCAACTCATGGAAGGGGCACAGAGGGTGGGAGAAGCATCCATGGAGGCTATAGTAAGGGTAAGACAAGAGGCAGAGGGAGGATCAGTGAGGGACCTTCTCCTTGTACTCTAAAGAAAAGCTTCCCCTGCTAGTCTGGTGGGTTCTTCCCACCAGACTTCATGAGCTTCCCTGCCCCCAATATCCATCACTCCACTTTTTTCCTTTCCCGGCTTCTACCCTGGCCCCATGAGCCAAAATTGGGAATATCAGTACTGTCCTGCCCACTTGTCCAAGACATAATCATAGTAATTCATCTTTTTTTTTTTTTTTTGCAGTACTGAGGCTTGAGCTCAGGGCCTTTATGTTGAGCCACTCTACCAGCCCTTTTTGTGAGGGGTATTTTTGAAATAAGGTTTCACGAACTATTTGCCTGGGGCCAGCTTTGTACTGTGATCCTCCTGATCTCTGCCTCCTAAGTAGCTAGGATTATAGGAGTGAGCCACTGGTGCCAAGTGTAATTCATCTTTTTAAGAAAAAAAAAAAGTACCCTCCACTTGTTCTTCTTTCATTCATTCACTCTCTAATCCTCGTTGAATCTCACCACCTACCAGGCACTTTTTGTTTGTTTGTTTTTTGAGATAGGGTCTCATTAGGTAGCCAGACTGGCCTTGCAAGCACCATCCAGAGTCCTGGGATGACAGGCATGAACCACTATACCTGGCTTTACAATGGCCTTCCCATTGTAGAACAGTTATATATTTTTTTCTTTCTGCCTTTAGTATCACTGAGTCATTATAACACTAGTTCATATATCTTTTCTTTAAAAAACAACTCCCTCCAGTAATAGTCCCTATTTTCTTCTTCTCTGCTATGGGAGGGCCACAAAAATCATTGAACAGCCTATTTCTAAACAATAGAATAGTCCATCAAAATATATGTCTTGGCTGCTGGCCTATCCATCAGAAAGCTGGTTTAACCAACCCCTTTTCTTCCTGTTATGGATTTGATCAGTGAGAGAGAAAAGGCCTTCTCCTACAGGCAATGATCTGTTCCACAAGAGGTTACCCCTAACCTGCCCTGCTTCACCTCCTGTCTTACCGCCTCTCCTAACTATGAGGGATGTGACAGAGGGAACAACTTTTTCTATCTCCTCCCTCAGTTTACCTGCCAGGCTAAAGCTGACTTCTTTTTTCTGAGGAATGAGGCAGCGGATGATTCTTGGTCTACGGCCCCTGTGCCCAAGAAGCCCCTCCATAGGGCACACCAAGAGCAGGGCAGCCCCATCACCCCAAAAGTACTGAACATGTCCTCTCACAGGACCCTTCCCCTCCAACCAGTTCACAGTGTCCAGACGTCTGGCAGGGACCATAGAGCACAGGAGAACAGAGCAGGAGGCTCCATCTGTAGCCTTCGCAGAGAACTGGGATCCTGGGGGGTGGGGAGAGAGACTCTTCAGTTCTTTGTGTGGGCTTCCCTAGTTCCCAGTGGTCCCTGGTCTTCATACCCCCACTCACCTTTGAGCACAGAGACATCATATACCCTCCAGTTCTGGTACTTGTGATACTGATCTACCACAGTGCACCAATACCGGCCAGCATCTTCTTCCTTGGACCCCTTTAGCCATAAAGAATAGTTTCCCAGGAGTTTGAGCCTGGAATCCTTTCCAGGTTTCTCAAGGTCTGGAATTGACTTGGCCACTTGGACTTGGGCCACCAGGATGGTGGAGGAGCCTGCTGCCGGACTGTGGAACCAAGACAGGAGTTCCTCCTCATGTTGGGTGGGTGGTGAGGGACATGGAAGCTCCACTGCCTCCCCCAAGGCCACATAGATGGCCTGGATAGTGTCTGTGGAGAGATGGTTGTATGAGGCCAGAGATCTTCATCACATCAACAAGATCCCACTTGACCTCCAAACCCTGACTTCCTTCCCCTCTAGGGTCCCCCAGCACTAGCTTGGCTGGTGAGCCTATTTCTCAAGTGATAGTTACAAAGAGAAGTGGAGAGAGAGTAAAGGCTTTCCTTCCCTTTCCTCTAGCCAGTGAGAGAATCTGAGGGCAAGAGAGAAGAGGATGGAATGGTTGGCAAATAACCGTATCTCTTTAAACATTTACTCTTCCATTTTTATTTTCTAAGGGAAACTGTAAGCCAGGATGATGATGTACACCTATAGTCCCAGCACTCCAGAGACTGAGGTAGGAGGATCACATAAGCTCAGGAGTTCAAGACAGCCTGGGCTACATAGTGAGAACCTGGCTTAAACAAACAAACAAAATAAATAAATAAATGGAAACTGTACATAACCTTGACCCTCATTGCCTCTGGATCTCCCTCATATTTGAGTCAGGGAGAGGTCAAATGAGGTAAGTTTTTCTTTTTGAGTCAGATGTCTCCTCCAGGCCTCTAAGGGGAAAGAGCAGCAGTACCTCCCCAACCTTTAAAGAATCCCCTACCTGTCTGCCCCTTACCTGTAACAGCCTGGGAGGGCCCACATAGGAACAGAAGAAGGAGGAATGAGACTGCCATGAGGAAAGCCTGCCAAGTTCTCTTGTTCCAAGACCTGATGTTCCCAGGGAGGAAACAGGACATAGATAAAAGCCCACACTCCCTGGGCAGGAACCACATGGGCCTCTGCAGGGAATGAGAATGCAGAGAAGATAAAACCTGCATGTTCAGGGTAAAAAGTGACAGCCACCTTTCAGTCCTGGAGTTAGGGGAAGGACCTGGTCCAGGTCATTCCTGTGTTAGAAGGGGTTCCAGCTGTTCACCTTTAGTCAATCAGTCTAGAAGTTCATTATGGGGCTGGTGGAGTGGCTCAAGTGGTAAAACACTTGCCCACCAAGTGTGAGGCCCTGAGTTCAAGCCCCAGTATCACCAAAAAAAGGAAAAAGAAAGAAAGAGAGTAGAAGTACATTCTGTGGTCTCTCTTTCACTTGTAAGTATCATCAGCTATGAACCAAGGAGAGCATATTGCTCTCCATGGAATACAGCACAAAACTGTATATTCAGGTCTTCAAATCCTTAAATGATTTAATGACTTTCTGTGTGGCCGTCTGGCATACCACAGACTGCTCCCAAACCCTTGAGGAATGTAGTAAGCTGTTATTCAAAGAGAAGGATAGCAGGGAACTAGATTATTCATGGATTCAGCACTTTGCATCAGGCAGGACTCTTAAGCCAGATCTTTGTACAGTTCTAATGGTTTTTTGTTTTTTTTTTTTTTTCCTTTTAGTTTTTGAACTCAGGGCCACTCCACCAGCCCTTTTTTTGTGATGGTTTTTTTCAAGATAGGGTCTCGTGAACTATTAGCCATGGGTGGCTTGGAACCATGTTCCTTCTGATCTCTGCCTCCTGAGTAGCTAGGATTACAGGTGTGAGACACCAGCGCCCAGCTTGAGACAGGGTCTTACCATGTAGCCAGGCTGGCCTCAACCTCACAATCCTCCTTCCTGGGATTACAGATGGTGTACCACTATGCTTGCCTTCAGTTCTTTTTCTTTTCTTTTTTTGCAGTACTGGGGCTTGAACTGAGGGCCTACACCTTGAGCCACTCCACCAGCTCTTTTTGTGTTAGATATTTTTGAGATAGGGTCTTGTGAACTATTTGTCTGGGCTGGCTTAAAACCATTATCCTCCTGATCTCTGCCTCCTGAGTAGCTAGGATTACAGGTGTGAGCCACCAGTGCCCGGACCTACTTTTAGTCCTAATATTTTTTAATGTGTTGCTTATTTTTTTTAAATGCTAAACAAGTACTCTACTACTGAGCTACATCCCTACCTCTATTTTTTTTGGGGGGGGGCGGGTATTGGGGCTTGAACTCAGGGCCTACACCAACCCTTCTTTTTGTGATGGGTTTTTGTGAGATAGGGTCTTGAGAACTATTTGCCTGGGCTGGCTTCACACCTCCATTCTCCTTATCTCTACCTCCTGAGTAGCTAGGATTACAGGCATGAGCCACCAGCACCCAGCTACATCTCTACCTCTTAAATTACTTTTTAAAAAATATTGTTGACTTATTTGTGACCTTGCACGCATTAGACAAGCACTGTGCCACAAAGCTACATTCCCAGACATTAAACTATTTTCAGTGAACTATTCCACACACACTATATATGATGTACAACTACATAATGGATAAATAAACCATGACAATGGAACACCGGACAGCAAAGAGAACGAACAAACTACAATGCCCTACCAAAAGACTGAATTTTCACAAACATAATCGGAGTAAAAGAGGTTAGACACACTAGCAAGCATGAGTTCAAATAACCAAAAAAAAAAAAAAAAATCACACCCACACCCACACAAGTTGAGTGCTAGTGGCTCATGCCTGTAATCCTAACTACTTGGGAGGCTGAGATTGGGAGATCAAGGTTCAAGGCCATTTTGGGGAAATAGTTCTCAAGACCCCATCCCCAAAATAACCAGAGCAAATAAGACTGGAGGTGTGACTCAAGCACTAAAGTGCATGCTTTGCAAGTACAAAACCCTGAGTTTAAACCTCAGTCTCACCAAAAGACTGCTATAATCCTAACACTCGGGAGACTGGGGCAGAAGGATTAGGACTGTGAGTCTGAGGCCAGCCTGGCTATACAGTAAGATCCTATCTCAAAAAAACAAAACAAAACAAAAGCCAAACAGGAACACAGAGGGTTTTCTGGATGCTATAGTGATTTGTTCTTGATTCGGGTGTAGATTTCATGGGCCCACTTTTTGTATATATGTTTACTTTAACAAAAAGCTACAGTTTAACTAGGTGAGGTGGTGCACACCTTCATCCCAACACTTGGGAGGTGGAGGCAGGAGGATCCAGAGTTGAAGGCCAGCCTGAGCTACAGCTACATAACCAGACCGTTTTCAAAAAAAAAAAAGAAAAAAAAGAGCCAAAAGGATTTTTTGTTTTTGTTTTTGAAGACAGGGCCTCACTGTGTAGCCACAGTAGGACTTAAACTCTGGATCCTCCAGCCTCTGTCTGCCAAATGCTGGGATGATAAGCTTGTGCCACCACACTAAACTTAGAGTTTATATATTATGTAGGTGTAAGGTATTTAAAAAAAAAAAAACCTGCATGTGTTAAGAAATAGAATATTAGTATCTCAGTCAAATGTCCTTTATGAATGGTAACCACCATTCTAAATTTGCTTCCTCCTCCACTTGCTTTAAGTTTTATATTTTATACAATGATTTCACGTTCTATGTATTCTTACGTGGGTCCCCCTCTCCCATTCAATATGGTTTGTTTTGAGGTTTTTCCATACTTAAGAGTGATAATTCATTTTCTTTTTACCAGTATTTCACACATGGCAATAATAATGTACTGTTTTCCTATCTGTGACCATGGTGTAGCTCTCCATTTATTCAAGCCTTGTTTTACTTCTTCCAACTTTTTATAAGTCTTCTTTACAAAAATTTTGCATTCTTGTATTAGATACATTTCTAGACACTTTTATCTTTTGCAGCTCTTGTCAAATGCTCATAATCTTTGCATTTTTATTATCGATCGAGAGTGTGCTGATATTAAGAAATAGAGGAAAAATGACTTAATTGTGCCTAATAATCTTTTAACTCTGCGTTCCAAACGTCTCAGACTAATTTCTGACCATTGCTGTACCCGTAGGTCCAACTGCGCGAAACTTCCTAAGTGGCGCTGAAAATGTCTCTACAGGGCACGAGGCGGAGCCTTACGTGATGACGTCACGGTCACGCAACACCACAGAGGCAGGGGAGGGCGGGGCCGGCAGGGGGACTTGCTGCTGGGAGAGCAGCGGCCCAAGCCGGTGCCATGGCGAAGCTGCTGAGCTGTGTCCTAGGCCCCCGGCTCTACAAAATCTACCGGGAGAGGGACTCAGAAAGGGCCCCGTCCAGCGTCCCCGAAACTCCAACTTCAGTCACTAACCCCAGTTCCAGCTCCTGGGTGAGTCGAGTTCCCCCCCTAGTTAAGAACATGGTACGGTCCAAACCTTTTGCGGCCTTTGCTCCCCAGAAGTGCCCATTATTGGAAATAAGGGGAGCCTGCTTGTCAAGTCGGTTGTCCGAAAAGTCTGCGCTGTTTGTGTTTCCTGGGTTCCAGTCATGCCCGTAGACTGGCCGCCTCCTCTCTTTACCTCTGTTTGATCACCTCTTTCTCATTCCGACTACCAGTACTTGCATTTTTCTCTTCGCGTACCCCCCCCCCCGTCTGTTATGGTTCATCCCGGTCCCAATTGAGTCTTAAATCCTGGAAGAGACCCTGCACGGATTGGGGTACCGGTGGATTTTGCTGTCATACTCCCAATTTCTTCTTCCTCAGTACCTCTTGGTTCTCCCCCGGCTCTGTTTATCTTTTCCCTTTAACCTATCTTGAATCTCATGTGTCCGTTGGTCTTCCTCTCACCTCCCAAACCTAGCCTGAAGACCCCCAGGGTCAATGCATTCACAAAAGTGGGTGGTGGTAGACTGTGCCCCTAAACAATCTCTTCCTTTTTATTGGGAGTCTCAAATTATGCTTAATAACCTCTACAAACGGCCCACCCCTAGCCACGTACAAAATAACACTACTCTTATTTCTGTTGCTCTTCTTTTCCTTTTAGAATTGTCATGAAGTCTTTCCTTTTTTCCCTAACCCGTCCCTCCCTGTGCACTCGACTACAACTGGGTTGTGGAAAAGGAGCAAAAATCTCCCAATGCTGCTTTCACTTTTTTTTTTTTTTTTTTTCAAGTCCAGCTCCCTGTGTTGGTTCTCATGGTCCTGGATGGGAAGTCATGCTCAGGGTTAGGGTAGAGAAGAGAGATTTCTGTAGAAGGTAGGGATGTCCCAAGAGAGATAGCCAAGGAAGCTAGAACCAGAGGACGCTTATTGGGGCTTCAGAAAAGAGGAAGGACCAGTCAACTGGGAGGTCCTTAATGGGCCATCTGTTTTTCAGGATACGTACTATCAGCCCCGTGCCCTGGAGAAACATGCTGACAGCATCCTGGCACTGGTAAGTCTGCCCCAGCATCTGTAATTCACTACATCTTTTCAGACCCAGCTGCTTCTTGAACTTACTCCTTTCAGCCTAGGGGAAGGCAACACCCCTGAGGGCGAGTGATGCTCTGAGCTCTGCAGCAGACTTTTCCATCACACACACACACACACACACACACACACACACAGACACACACACGTCTTTGGTTTGTAGCATGACTTTCTCTGGGGCAGCCTGAGCCCTGAGGAAAACATGTTTACTCCTGGAACCATCTGCAGGTATTAAGTCCTGCAGTCCTCAGTGACCTGTCCTCCTTGGCAGCTAACCTCTTTGGCAGGAGAGACAGCTATTGTCTCTGGCAGGGTTCCTATGGTGACGTTTGCTCATCTCTTGGGGACCAGGCCGGTAGACAGAGAGACTGACCTTTCAATATGATGAAATTATGTCCAGAGATGATTTGAGGAATAAAATAGAACATGCATCTAGTTTTTCCAGACTCCATTACACTCTGATGCACTAATGTTAAGCAAATTTTTGAGTACCTACTGTGTGCATGGTGGCATGCACATAGTTGGTACTTGATATGGTATTTCTCAGGTTATCTACCTTGCTCAGAGCACAGGCCTTGAAGTGGCAGACCAGTGTGCATGCATGCATGTGTGTGTATTGATTGCTTGTCCCTGTCTTTCTGCTACAGGCTTCAGTCTTCTGGTCCATCTCTTACTACTCCTCTCCCTTCGCCTTCTTCTACTTGTACAGGAAAGGTCAGTGTGTTTTCAAAGGTGATGGGGAAGGAAATGGGTGTATTGTTGACAAACAAGCCATCACCCTAAAGAGGAAAGGGACCTGTGAGAATGGCTTGACTTCCCTCTTTCACCAAGCGTCTTCTTCCTCTAAGGGTGGGGCTGTCCAAAAGAGAGGGTTTGGGTTACAGGTTGGGGCCAAATTGGGAAGAAGAGCTGAGAGGCACTGTGGAGAGTTTCTCATATTGTCCCTCTCCCCTGCCAGGTTACTTGAGTTTGTCCAAGGTGGTGCCATTTTCTCACTATGCTGGAACATTGCTGCTACTACTGGCAGGTGTGGCCTGCCTCCGAGGTAGGTGGAAAGGAAGCCTAGTTTGGATCTATTCATTGCTGTGTCAATATTATGAAGTTTCTACAAATCCAGTTTGGTGCTAGGCCCTGAGGGAGAATAACTGAGAATGATCTAAGGCATGATCTTTTCCTTAAGGGATGTAAATATGAAAAAACAGTTAACAGAAAAGTTTGCTATTTTCTATGAACAATGAATGTGTTGCACAACAATTCCATGCATATACATGTATATATACACTAGAGAAATTCCTGCGCATATATAAATAGTATATGTGTACAAGAATACAGCATACAACATTGTTTGCAGTAATCCTAAACTGGAAACAACCCCAAAGGCCATGAACTGTAGAAAGGGATAAATTCATTATATGGTGTAGCCATACAGCAGAACACTACACAGCAATGCAAAGTATAAATACAATTATACTTAATGCAGATGAATCTCACAAATGTAATACTAAGTGGAAGAAACTGACCACAAATGATGTATACAATATGTCTTCACTTACGTAAATTTCAGAAGGGATGCATATGTATGAGGTAAGAACATAAAGAGAACAAGGGCATGGTTATCTTGAAAGCCAGATGAGTGATTAGCTGGGGTAGGAGAGTACAGAATGGAAAGACCCCTGGCAGGAGATGGCTTTGTTCTCTTTCTTGGTCTGGATAACAATCACATGAACGTTTACTTTGCATTTTTTAAGCTGAATGTATGTTTTATGTATATGTGTTGTGTCTTTCAATTAAGAAAATAAAGGGACAAAACAAGTTGCGTGTACTGTAGGTATTGTATGGTGACAACCAGGTGAAGGTGGTGCTTGGAGAGGGGTGGTGGGCTGCGGTATGTCTGGCTGGGTGAGTACCTCCTGCCTGAGGTGTTTTGCCCCTTGTGATCTCTGCTGGACTGGGCTACCTCCTCAGAGAGGACTTCCCTGACCACCCTTCTCAAAATAGCTATCACTACTCAATTTGACTTGATTTTTAATTTTATTTATTAAAAAATACATAAAAGTCTGGAGAACAAAATACCAAAAAGAACTAGAGGGTTCTGTTTTGTGATATTTGCTTCAGATGCTTTTTGTCAATACAATACTAAAGCACTGTGGTCAAGTTGGAGTTACCATTGGAATCTTCCCAGTCCCACATTCTTCTTCTCCTCAGAAGTAACCATTGTCCTTTGATGTGATTTTTCTGGTCCGTTGTTTTTTTGTTTTGTTTCATTTTGCTTTTTGATGGTGGTGATACTGGGGTTTGAACTCAGGGCCTCACACTTGCTAGGCAGGTGATCTACCACTCAGGCCACTCTGCCAGCACTTCTTTTTGTGCTGGGTATAGGATCTCACAAATTATTTGCCCAGTCTGGCTTTGAACCATGATCTTGTTCTTTGCCTCCTGAGTAGCTAGGATTACAGGCATGAGCAATTGGTATCTGGAGATTAACTCATTTTTCAATGAAGTTATATACTTACCTAAACTGTCATTGATTATAAAATGCATACTAATTTCACAATTTTCAAATGTTAAAAAAATACTTGTGTTATTTTATGCATTTTACATTTTTGACATAAATGGCATCACTCCATACAAATAATTCCGTAGCTTGCTTCATTTTCTTATTATTGTATTGTTTTGGGCACTATCCTTGACCATACAGAGTTCTAGTTCGTCCTAGTTTTGCTTGTAGCACTTACCCTGTCTGGTGTTTTCTTGTTTATTGTCTTTTCCCAGTTTAACCTCAGCCTCTATCACAATGCCAGCTCTCTAAGGAAGTGTGTATCTTATTTCCTGCCTGTCCCCATGGGGAGGACAGTGCCTGATACAGGATACCTGCCAGGTCAATGAGAAGCGAAGTTAGGATTTAAGCCTCTTTAGCAGTGAAAGGAGAGTTTGTGTGATCCCAGGGGGTGAGTGAAAGAAAAGAATCAGCACTGAGATTTGCTGTCTTTTAGAAAGGGAAGGAAAAAGGGCCAGGAGAGGAGCAGTTCAGAAATTGGAAGGATGCAAAGACAGGCCCAGAAAGCAAGGGAAGAAGGAATCTCGAGAGACAGGAAGGATGCTGAATGGAGCAGTTGAAGAGAATGAAGGTGAAGGAAGGATTCAATGAGGAAGTAACTATGGGCAAGAGTAAAAGACTGAAGCCATATGACAGGGTTTAGAATACATAGAAAACAAGCATGAGGAAGCCTGGCAGGAAAAAAAGAAACTGAGTGTTACCAAGGGGGAATAGTAAGGTTGTATAACAATGTTTTAAGATAGAGGAGAATGAATATTCTGCATTGTGGAAGCTTGCTAGTCTATAAAGAAACAAACTGAAGAAACTAAAGGGAGAAGAATTCTGTAGTCAGTTGCTGGATGTGGAGGAAGGAAGGTCTATTCCCCACATCACAGGCCCTCAGTTCCTGTTTCTCTCACTTCTTCCAGAACCTTCTTGCCCATCTCCAATTTGTTTCCTAAAACCTAGGCATCCAGCTTCCCAGTTTTCCTAATACTGTTTCCTGTCCTCTCTTGACCAGGCATTGGCCGCTGGACCAACCCCCAGTACCGGCAGTTCATCACTATCTTGGAAGCCACACATCGAAACCAGTCCACAGAAAACAAGGTGAGAGGTTGTATGAAAAGTTCTAGACATTCTTCCTTCTAGCAGCTTCCTCCACTGCCCCCAGAGCACCAGGCATGGGCTTCTGCCAGGAGAAGGAAGTGTACTTTAATACCTACCACTGTGGGTTTTTGCCTGCACTTTGCTGTGTCTCTTTTCCCCTCCATAAGTGAACTGTCCTTTCTGCTACTTCTGATTCTTCTAAAACAGTCCTCTCCCACTCCACCTTCCATCCTCACAAATTGTCTAAGCATAGAATCATCCACAGTCTTTCTTAGGAGAGCGTTTTCTCTCTATCACAGTAGCTCAGGTTTACAAAGGTTTATTTTTGTGGTGTCCATTGAACTCCATGCAGGCTTTGTTTGGAGATGGAACAAGATGGACAGGTATGTCTACTCCTGTGCCCAGGAGTGTAGCATGGCGCCAGCAGGGAGAAAAGCCAGGGCACAATGTCCTTTAAGTTGTGCCAGGCCTGCTGGTACTAGAGTGTGATTATCTCTGAGAAGGGGCGATGGGGCCCCATAAAGCTCCTTCCTGTTGCAAGGGTATCTGGGATCAAACAGCTATGAGCACAATCACTGCATTAATGGTTACTCCACACCACTATTTATGGAGCTGTGTAATGATGCTCTGTACTGCACCACTGTGTGAAGCATTTTGCATATTGTATATGCTCTTTATAGTCCTCACAATAACTGCGTGAGATAGCATAATTACCCTCATTTGTACATCTGAGGAAGCAGAAGCACAAAGAAGCTAAGTGACCCCTGCAGTCACGGAGCAAGGAAGTGATTGAGTCTGGATTCAAGAGCAAGTCTGAGAAAATTATGGCTAAAATTGCTTTTCTTCATTTTGTTCTGTCATTTATATTTTGTACAATTTTTCTGTTGCTCTCTCTTAGTCAAGTTATTTTTGAAAATGTCAGAAAATTTCTCTGGCAGGAAATTTAAAAAAACTACAAAATTCCTCAAAATAGAGACCTGGGAACTTTGGGGATGGGGGAGAAACACAGCAGAGTGTGAAGACACAGTTCCCACTATCCACAGAAAGCATGTGGATCAACTTGGGGTGACCAGAGGAACAGATGGTCTGTGTGGCAATGCTGGCCCCTGGCAGCAGGAGTTGAGGGGAGGAAGGTGGCCATAAGACTGGGACAACTATATCCCAGGTGCATAGGAGCCACTGTGGGCATGACTTCTTCACTTTCACTCAACCATTAGACCATCAGTTTGATCTGCTGGGAGGTTTCTGAGTCTCTAAGATAGCACCCTGCACAGGACCCTGATGGGGAAAAGATAGTGACCAGTCAATGGGTCTTACCTCCTTACTCAGAACCATCAGCCACCCCTCCTGGAGGTGGGTAAGCCTTAGATTTTTGGAAAAGCAGAGTTAGGGTTCTTGTCTGGAATAGGGCAGATAGGGCAGTCCTGATACCCATGAGGCATGTGCCTTGCCTGATTGTTCTGGTCGTGTTATTCTGTCTGAGACCCAGGAGGGTGCTGACCTCTGCCTGGTCTCTCTATGATGTATAAGTGGGCTTCTCCTTAGTTCTTTCCCCCCTTCCCTGCCCTGTTCTTAATTCCTCTTCCTCCCTTTTTTCCCTGCTTACCACAGAAGCAGCTGGCCAACTACAACTTTGACTTCAGGAGCTGGCCAGTTGACTTCCACTGGGAGGAACCCAGCAGCCGGTGAGGCTCAGTGTTTTTGCTCCATCCCTTCCCTGGAACTATCTCAGATAATCCTTATACCACCCTGTCCTCCGACCTCCATCCCCTCTGATATCCCAGTACCTGCCTTCCTGTGCCACCTTCTCATTCTTAGACTCCTACTAGCCTACTGCTCCTGACCCCTTCCTCCCCTGCCTCTTTCCCTTCCTTAGGAAGGAGTCCCGAGGAGGCCCTTCCCGCCGGGGTGTGGCTCTGCTTCGCCCAGAGCCAATACACAGGGGAACAGCAGACACCCTCCTCAATCAAGCTAAGAAACTGCCTTGTCAGATCACCAGGTGCGAAACAGCAGGGTGGAGAAACCAGCTAGGGGGTAAAGGACATGGGGCAATGCACCTGGGATTTGGTACTCCATTGTCAAATACTGTTACTGGGCCTACTGTTGTGAGCTTTGTATCATTTGTGGTGAAGAAACATTTATGTGTGAAGAAAAGAGGCTCAGAAAGGTCCAAACGAAGAACTGATATATTAACACAGTTCTGTCTCACACAGAAGGTCTCAGCCAGGCTGAGAGGGAGCAGTGCGGTTGGGCTGAAAAGGAAAAACATCTCTGTATCTGGAACAGACTCTTAACACACCATGTTGTAGCCATCCTGGCCCCTCTACTCCTTGGTTCTTCCACCTTGGTCCTTGAGTGCACTGTGCCTCTGTTTCTACATCTGTGAATAGCCTGTCTTATAGGATTGTTGAGGAAATTAAGTAAGGTGACATTTCTGAAGAGCTTCCACCTTGCCTGGATGCCTGAAAGCACATGGTAAAGCCAACTAAATCTTATGGTAGTCATGATAGTGACCACTCATATCTACAGTGGAGCAGGTGCTTGGAAATTTTTATTGCTGGTTCTAGAATACCAAACAATATACTCAGTGGTTGGTTGTTGATGGTGTGCTGGACAGGGTGGTGCAATGTTGCTCTATAGACAAAGCCTACTTCAGGATTAACTAGAAGTGGTTATTCATCCTACCACATCTTATCCGTCTAGATTAATTCATTCATTCAATAATTATTAAGTCCCTACTGTACATGATGTTCTGGATACCTCCTATGTGGCAGGTATTGAACATAGCATAGTGAATAAAACAGCCAGGTCCTGCCTCAACAAGAATTTGTGGTCTAGTTTGGTGTCTTTCAGACTATGTACCTTATCCCATTAGTGAATCATAAAATCACTTTAGTGAATTACAACCATCATTTTTTAAAGTATTGGTTATTTGGGGAATGTTATTTATTTGTTCTATTATTTAGGAACTTTTATTTTAGTTTTTGCAGTGTTAGGGAACAAACTCAGCTTTGCACATCCTAGCTGTATTTGGGGACTTTTAATAAGTTGTATACATTAACAGAATCACATTTCATAATAACTTTGCTTTTACTCCTTAGACATAGAAAGGATTATCTCATAGAGCTTTCAGAAATACATACAGACAGTTCTCAATTTATCATAGTTTAACCTGACATTTTTTTTGGGGGGTGATTCTGGGCTTTGAACTCAGGGCCTTGTACTTGCTAGGCAGGTGCTCTATTACTTGAGTCATGCCTCTAGCTCTTTTTGCTTTGGTTAATTTTGAGATAGGGTCTTGCTTTTATGACCTAGTGGGACTGTGATCCTCCTATTTTTGTTTCCTGTGTAGCTGTGATGATGCAAACCACCACACCCAGTTTTTTATGAGTTGAGATGGAGGTCTTGAGAACTTTTTGCCCAGGCTGATCTCAAACTATGATCCTCTTGATCTCTACCTCTCAAGTAGCTACGATTACAAGTTTGAGCCATCATGCCCAGCCTAACTTTTGATTTTTTGATAAATGGTATAAAAGAAATAGGTATATGGTAGAAACTGTACTTTAAATTTTAGATTTTGGGACTGGGTTATGACTCAAATGGTAGAACAAGGCCTTGAATCCAAGCCCCCATACCACAAAAAAAAAAAAAAGCTGGACTTTGATCTTTCCCTGGGATAGTGATGTGCAGCACAATATTCTTTTGTGCTGCTGGGCAGCAGCAGGTAGCAGCAGCTCCCAGTCAGCCACAGGGTCACCAGCACACAATATTCTACAGCATACTCTGCAAGTAAGTTATGGTGTGTGATAGGTTAGGTGTATTAAATGCATTTTTAACTTCTAATGTTTTCAACTTACATTATTTTGGGGGGGCAGGCAGCTCTGGGGTTCAAACTCAGGGACTCACGCTTGCTAGGCAGATGTTCTTACTGCTTGAGCTACTCTACCGGTCTTTTTTTTGTGCTGGGTTTTTTCAAGATAGGATCTTGTGAACTATTTGCCCAGGGCTGGCTTTGAGGATCCTCCTGATCTCTGCCTCCTGAGTAGTTAGGATTATAGGAGTGAGCCACCTGGCACCTGGCAAATATTTTCACCTTATGATGGTTTTATCAAGACATAAACCCTTCATAAGTCGAGGAGCATCTGTATACATATGGGTGTACTGGACTACAATATAAAATGTTTGTTTGATTTTGGGGATTTTTGCAGTGCTGGGGCTTGAACCCAGGACCTTGTATATACTAGGCAAGCGGGTACATTCCCATCCCTGAAATGGGTATCTTACAAAGTTTGCAGTAAAAAGAAGTTTGAACAACACCAGCCTAGCAGTGAAAAAAAAGTTTGAAAAATGCCAGCCTAGTACATGTATTATTTCATCAAGTTCTGAAAGAAGAAAGCAAAGCTGTGAAGGTTAAGGGTAAAGCAGACCCAAGAGTCTGTGAGTGCTAGAGCTGAGACTGTCCATGAGCCCCTTTGGAACTGGGGGTTCGTAACCCATGTTTCCCACAGCTACCTAGTGGCACACACCCTGGGACGCCGAATGCTGTACCCAGGCTCCGTGTACCTGCTCCAGAAGGCCCTCATGCCTGTGCTGCTGCAGGGCCAGGCCCGGCTGGTAGAAGAGGTAGGCTCCCCTTCCCCCATCCTCTGCTGGCCCTGTTTCCCCCAGAGATGTGGCTTCTTGCCCCTCCCAACCTGGCCGTTTTGTCTCCCTTGCTCAGTGTAATGGCCGCCGGGCAAAGCTGCTGGCGTGTGATGGTAATGAGATTGACACCATGTTTGTGGACCGGCGGGGGACAGCTGAGCCCCAGGGACAGAAGCTGGTGAGAGGAACTAGGGAGCCCAAAGGTGGAGTGTGTGGGGGTAGGGCATGGAGGTTCTGGGGACCCCAGTCCTGCAGCACCTTTCCTATGGAGCCACAGTAGGGGACAGACCCATCCCTCAGCTCTCCTCTAAGGACCTCTTATGTAGGAAAACCCCATGAGAGAGAAACAGATGAAGAAAGAGGAATTGACATTCAAGATCAAAAAATGTCACCACTTAGACAACATCTGCTACTTTCAAGACATATATTTAATCCTCACAACAATCTTGTGAGAAAGGTACTATTTATATTAGTCCATTTTACAGAAGTAAAGAAGGTACAGAGTAACATTCTCAGATCAGTTAGTAGTAGTGCTGGTATTTGGATCTAGGCAGTCTGGCTTCAGTTTCCTGCATCTATGAAGTGACCCTAGAAAGAGCACTGAGCCAGGAGGAGTCAAGGAGGCTTGGTTCTAGTGCCATCTCTGCTATCTGCTTTGGGAGCCTGCAGGTCCAACCATCTCTGTGCTTCAGCTTAGGACACCATGGAACTAATTTATCTGACCACAAGACTGGAGCCAAGTGAGGGAGAAGGAGAGCAATGAGCATACCATACAACAGAAACAGTCACAGATCCAAAACTGTGAAGACAAGAAAAAAAAAAAAAAATCAAGGGCTAGTGGAATGGCTCAGGTGATAGAACATGTGCTCAACATGCAAAAGGATGGAGTTCCATCCCCAGACCCCCCAAACATCTGTAAGCCCAACCTGAGAGATCGATCTGGTGAGCTTGCAAGGAAAAATGGACACAGTGCTAGGTGATTGAGCAGTTCAGCTAGAGTCGTCTTCCTCTCAGGGCCCAGTTTGCTGAGCATTTGTAATCACTTTGCCTCTTATCTTGTGACCTGTGAAATGAGAAATTTGTAATCCCCTTGGAGAGATTAGGAACTGCCCTTTCTTCTTCCCTATAAAGCTCTTCTCAGGCTGTCCTCCGTAACTGCCCACATGGGCATTTTCAGTCCCAACTTGGAGCCTTCCCAGCCCTTCCTTCTTCTTTTCTAGGTGATCTGCTGTGAGGGGAACGCAGGATTCTATGAGGTGGGCTGTGTCTCTACGCCCCTGGAAGGTAGGTCTGGGGCTCAGCCCTCTTATTTCTCCTCCTTGGACCGGAATGTGTCCTGAGGTTCCCTGTACATCTCACACTGCTATGACCTCCCCAGGCTGACTTCCATTTTCTTTAGGCAAGGTCTGAGTCTCTCACCTTAGGGGGAAAGTCCACTTCCCATTTGCTTTGCTAGTCCATTTCCCATTTGCTATACATTCCTTCCATGGGCTGTGTCCCTAACTCATCCTGTTCCATCCCCCACCCCCTATAGTTACACATCTCCTTCCTGCTGCTGCAGAACCTTTGGCATTGTCTCTCTATTCTGGGAAGATCTGCAGTTTTTTTCCCTCTGAGTTGGAGGGTCCTTCTGCTTTCCTTCCCCTAGAGATAGAGAGGGGTGTGGCGTGGGCCACAAGGTTTCAGTCCCTCTTCCCATGTTACAGCTGGATATTCAGTCCTGGGATGGAATCATCCAGGTTTTGCTGGAAGCACGGTAAGACTCTCTCTGGAATCCTTCCTTTTTCACAGTTTTGTCTGTCTCTCTCTAGTCAGCCTCTGGCAAGAGGAAATGGGATGCCTGTTTCTGTGGGGCCTCCTACTTACGTGACCTGGGTGCTGAGGGCTGGCAGAGAGAAGCAGTGGATCTTGTTGTACACATTTGTTTTCTGGAGACAACAGCCCCTCCTACCACTCTTTTCTTCCACACCTTTATGTGTTGCACAGTAGCTGCAGGAAGAGACCACAGTACGAGGGTACAGGTACTAGGTGAACTAACCTTTGGTGTTACTCTCTCCTGCCTTTGCCCGTCCTCCTGCAGGGAGTGCCATTCCCACAAAATGAGGCCAATGCTATGGATGTGGTGGTCCAGTTCGCCATCCACCGCCTGGGCTTCCAGCCCCAGGACATCATCATCTACGCCTGGTCCATTGGCGGATTCACTGGTACCAGTCTCCCTCCCACTTCCCACTGTAGACAGATTCATGTCTCTGCCCAGGAGAGGTGGGGACCTGTACTGCTGGCTCAAGAGGCAGGTGGAGAGAAGGCTCCGGGAAGAAGAGTGAGGAAGTGGAATCTAAGTGGGCCCGGAAGAACATACCCATTTCCATATACTTCACCTCTCCTTCCACCCTTGTGCCCAATCATTAAAAGTAGACCAGTGTCCTGGGGTGGGGAAATCAGGGAGATAGAATGTTTTTGTCTGTTGTTTTCCATGCACTTCCAGGTTCTCTATTCTCTCTGGATGGTTAAGGAGAAACATAATAGGGAGAATAGGGTCAGGGATGTCGTAGGCATGAGCCCCTCTCTTTTCCTTGTCCTGGTACCAGCCACATGGGCAGCCATGTCCTACCCAGACATTAGTGCTGTGATCCTGGATGCTTCCTTTGATGACCTGGTGCCCTTGGCCTTGAAGGTTATGCCGGACAGCTGGAGTGAGTGCAGCTCCCAAGCCTGTCTTCCATGGAAGGGGTGGGCTGGAGTTGGGAGCTGTTCTAACTGGGGATGGTTCCCATTTCTGAGGGTTATAGCTTACCCTACTGTTGAGAAACAGGAGGGCTCCTTTGCCCACTACCTGTTTTCTCTCTCCATGCAGTGGGGCTCTTTATGTTGGGCAAGGGCTTTGTCTGTGACATCCCTTCACCTTTATCCAACTCTAGGGGGTCTGGTGACCAGGACTGTGAGGCAGCATCTCAACCTAAACAACTCAGAGCAGCTGTGCAGGTGAGGGCAAGCCAGTGTCTAGTGTCTCACCCCTGCCACCCACCCTACCCACCCAGCTCTGGTGGGTATTGTACAGAGAAATTCATACTAAACATTAAAGTTGGTAAATGCCCACTGCCTCACATCCCCCTAGTGACTCTGCCACCACCCCAGCTGGCCTAAAATCCTTCCCAGGCCCTCTGAGGCCCTGGACCTCCTGATGATCTGGCAACCAAAGGGTAAAGGCCTGGCACGGCAGGAGTCTCCCCCATGGTCAGAATGAGCAATGCCCATTCTTAGTTTGACTCACCTGTGGGTGAAGAGCTAGCTCAGGGATCCCCCTGTAGAAGGGGTAAAAATGCCACCAGGGCAGAGGGGAGAGCAGGCAGTTGTCATCTGTCTCTAGTGGAGCTCTTCTCTCCTTGCTGCTGTCCTGAAGGTACCAGGGTCCTGTGCTGCTGATCCGGAGAACCAAGGATGAGATCATCACCACCACGTGAGTGCCTGGGAGCCTCTGCCCTTCTTGCATCCACAAAGGCTAGGAAATTACCTCTCCCACCTCTGCCCTCCAGAAAGCCAGGTTTCCAGACCCCTCCTCCCCATTCTCCAGCCTCTCCATGGTAATTCTTCTTGCCCCCAGGGTTCCTGAGGACATCATGTCTAACCGAGGCAATGACCTCCTGCTGAAGCTCTTGCAGTTTCGGTGAGAGCTGGGTTGGGGATTGGGATGGAGGTAGAAGGGGTAGGCTCACATAAATACACCAGCACAAGGAGGGAGAGGCTCAGGGTTGAGGAGTGAAACAAATTTAGTCCTGACCTCCTGTCCCTGTGCTCCTCTGTAGATATCCTCGTGTGATGGCAGAAGAGGGTCTTCGAGTAGTGAGGCAGTGGCTGGAGGCCTCCTCCCAGCTAGAGGAAGGTGAGAGGCATCTGGTGAGGCTTGTGGGTAGAAGCCTGGCAAGCCAGTGCTCACAGGCCCTCATTACTCTCCCTGTCCAGCCTCAATTTACAGCCGATGGGAAGTAGAGGAGGACTGGTGTCTGTCTGTCCTCCGATCCTACCAAGCAGAACATGGGTCTGATTTCCCCTGGAGTGTGGGTAAGGAGGGGGGATGGGAAGAACCAGGAATGGGATGGATACCCAGACGTGGTGGTGTTTGAGTGCCTCCTTTCTGCAGGAGAGGACATGAGTGCAGATGGACGGCAGCAGCTGGCGTTGTTTCTGGTGAGCTCAAGAGTGGGAAGCAGGGGAGAGGGTCCGAATGGAGGAGATCTTATATAGGGCTTGAGATAGGAAATCTGGAAGCTTTCCTAGAGTGGGTGACTGGTTCAGAAAGTGGAGGGTGGAAAAGGTATCCAGTGGTTCCCACTCACTACAGTGCCCAGTGCCCACCTGCTCCATTTCCTCTCCTTAGGCTCGGAAGCATCTGCACAACTTCGAGGCCACACACTGCACCCCACTTCCAGCCCAGAACTTCCAGATGCCCTGGCACCTCTAGGGACCACATTGGGACTCATTCTGGAAGATAGGATGGGAGGAGACATAAGGGAGGACCCCTTTATTTGTGACTCTGTGTTCATGGTGCTGTTTATAGTTTGTGGAAAGTGGGGGTCCACCCCCCTACTGTTCCTCTTGCATGTTTCCCCTCATCCATGTGGCAGCACCTAACCTTCCCCATCACAACCTGCATTAAATGAATGGATTATTCCTAATAATTAATTAAAAAAAGGTATTTTTTCTACTATCTGGCTAATTGTGTAACTCTTCAAGTGTCTAGGAAGCTAGGAACTGGTTGTGGGGAGAGCAGAGGTCCAAAAGGGGCTGTGTTCTGGAGAACCCCAACTCCAGACAGTCATCTTAACCCTCCTCATCTCTGTGCTTCAGTTCCCAATCTGAGCTGTATTCATGCAGTGGGTCCCCAAGCCCCACCCTCTTCTGGCATGCCATGCCTAGTGATATCACTGCTGTGCATCTCCCCTGATCTTCCCTTCTTCCTTTCCACATACAGCTACCTCAGGAGCCCACTCTTGCTCATAGCTTGTTTAAAAAGTGCCTTCTAGTAAACAATTTCTTTTTTAGGGGGACAGTACTGTGGTTTGAACTCAGGACCTCACACTTGCTAAGCAGATGCTCTACCACTTGAGCCACTCCACCAACCCTCTAGTATCCAGTTTCATCTACTCAGCTCCTCTATGATTTCTAGGTTCAACTTGCCAGGTGTCACTCTCAGTACCCCCAATTTTCCTTGCTCAGCTCTTATCCCCACAGGATAACAATGGCCTGCTCTCTGAGTCTCATGCAGCAAACCCTGAAGCTCTCCTCACCACTTCAAGTCTCCTTATGCCCTATTTGCAATTCAGCAAATAGAGGGCCTGCCAGAACCATACTTTACTTTTTGAACAGCTCTATTAGAACATTCTTAGGCTGAACCTAAGGAAATTGTGGTTCCCCATAACTTCTATTTCTATGCCTTGGACCTTGTGGAACAGAATGAGTCCCTGGCCACCTTCTTCCTTTCGAAACTTCTCTTTTTCAAGTGAAATACCCCCTGCTGTTCCGCACAGGGCCCATTTTATTTTTTCTGGGGTGGGGGGGGAATCCATTGTTTTGAACAATGTTCTGATGTCCTAGGTACAATCCCTGGCTAATTTCTATGTCTTCTCCAACCCCAGGTCTTGACCCTTCTCTGTAATCCTGGGGCAGAGACTGTGTCTGCCCTCATCAACTCAGCTCCTTGAGGGAAGAGGAAATCTGAGACTTAGTAGGTGATGTGATGCCAGAAATTTAGGGTTTGAAGAATAGAGGTGACCACAGCTCCAGGAGACCCCATCTTTAACAAATAGTAGGTGGAGAGCTGATACTGGTGGCCATTTCCTCTGTCCCATCCCAAGGGGCAGACAGGGTGAAAAGTATAGAGCATGAAGCTGTGAGACCAACTGCATGGATATGAACCTCATCCTCCCATTCCAACAGTTTATCTCCTGAAGACCAAGTCTCTTCAGCTAAGGGAACCTCCTTAAATTCAAATGGGGGCACTCAGCTGGGTGCCAGTGGCTCATGCCTATAATTCTAGCTACTGGGGAGGCTGTGATTAGGAAGATCACAGTTTAAGGCTAGCTAGGGCAAAAAGTTCACAAGATCCCATCTCTAAAATAACCAGAGCAAAATGGACTAAAGGTGTGGCTCAAGCAGTAGAGTGCATGCTTTGCAAGCACAAAACCCTGAGTTCAAAATCCAGTCCCACAAAAAAAATTGGGGGTACTCAGTTCCATCTCCCATACCCTGGAGATAAGAACTCCCCCTTCTTAGCCATAGCCAGTGGGGCCTCTGCAGACTTCCCTTACTACCCACTTTCCTCCTCCCATCTTCCTGCACATAGGATAGAGAACAGTAAATATCAAGAGAGGCCCTGAATTCGTGAGGACAGGGGAAACCCAACATGTGGATTAGACCACCTTACTCAGAGTTACTCCTCACCTAGTAAGACTGAGCACAGCTATGTTTATTTTTGGAAACCACCCCAACTGGGGGTTGGGACCAGCTGTTTGTCCACTCCTCACCCTATATAGTAGGGTTCCTTCAGTCCTACCAGTTTATATGCCTACCCCACAGCTGCTGGGGCTCTGGACCCTGCTGTTCTGGGCATCAGGTGAGTGCGGAGCTAGGGGAGAAGATGGAAGGAGAAAGGAAGTTAAACCTAGGAAGAAGTGGGTGCCTGGGCAGGACAACACCGTGTCCTACCCTATTCTCACTGGTCCAGGACCTACCCAGCCCTTCTTCCAGTGTGAGGTCTGGGCTGCATGTTTGGGTTGTTTTGCTCCCTGCCCCTAGGAGGGGCATGTGTTTTTTTACAGATGTCACAAGTGCACTGAGAGTGGGGTCTAGCGTTGGGGATAGCTAGGTCCCATTCCCATTCATCCATCCACCCATCCATCCAATAAGCCACCCAGGTTCCTTCAGGAACCCAGACATTCATTTCCATTCAGGATAAAGACTTCGGTTTTTCTCTAACGGCACTCGCCCAGCAGAACTTGGCTCTCATAGGGCCCCATGGTTATGGTCCCGCCCCTCGTTTACCTCACCCTATTTCCCTAACCCTGGTGCTCAGTCCTCAGGCCCCGCCTTCTTAGTTTCGTTATGCAGCTGTTTACCCCAGGTGTCCCTTGTCTCCAGCGAGGGCACTCAGCCTGAGTGCTGTCATCTGCTGCTGTCACCATGGCGACGATTGCAACTCTGTACTTCTTTACCCTAGGAAATCCCCGCGGAACCTGTCACTATGGAAACGAACTCTTAGGGCTCTTTCTGCACACTGGCTGTGAGAACAGGGGAGAAACGAAAAGAAACATGGGCGGGAATTAATGACTGAAACTACACCCCCTCCGAAAAAGGCTCCACCGGGTCTCGGTCCGCCCTCTCCCAAAATCCTAGCGGGGTCTTCTCTCCAGCTTGTCTCAGGGCTCACGGACGTCGTAACCTCACAGCAAGCCCTCCCGAACCTTCAGGGTGACTCCTGTGAGCCCAACCTCAGCCTCGCTTAGTCACTAGTCCTTGGCCTTTCAGTTGCGGTTATATTCGCGAGAGAGGTTTGGAGGGCGCTGTGAGATGCTGTTCTGCCTCGGGCTTGCCTCTTCCCTTCAACAGGGGCCCCCGTTCTTTGTTCTGTCTATCATTGAGCGCTCATTCATTCAACAGACATTTACGTAGGTGTCAGGCACTCCCCCAGTTTTCCTGATTTTAATAGTTTTTAAAGTTCATTCATCCCAAGGCTTGGGATGGGGGCGCATATATTTTCCTCTCGTTTTCTTTCTTCTCGCCCATCTTTCTGAGAATGGTTTCCCGTTTGTGTCTTCCCTTCTTGTGCCTCAACACCTCGAAATCGCATGATTCTTGGGTAGTCCGGGAGAGAACCCTCCCGTAGTCCAACGTCCCTAAAAGTAAAAGCTCTCACAGTCTGCAACTGACCTGGAGAGATGGGGACGCAGCAGGCCAGGTCGGAGATCCGCTCAAAGGAAGTGGGCGGGGCGTTTTGGAACTGTGGTCTCCAGAATCAGCCAGAAGGGATGGTGGTGCTACAGCGCCACCTCCTGGGGAAGTTGCACCACGCGCTGTACGTTCGCTGGCCCCCGCCTGCCCGACGCCAGGCAAAAAAAGGTGCTGCTCGGGCCAGGCCTCCCCCGCATCCTCTCCGGAGCTAAGGAGCAGTCAGGCATGGAGAGCGAACGCGCAGCGCAGAACCTGTGGGCACCGGAGATCACGCCCATTGACCTGAAGCTGAACTTGGGCGGAGCAGGAGAAAAAAAGGCATAGTGTGGGAGAAGGCGCTGGGCTCCGAACCCGGAGAAGGCGCTGGGCTCCGAACCCCAAGAAGGCACCAGGCTGAAGAATCCACGTGTCTTTGCTTTCGGATATCTAAGAATGCCCCATCTTTTCCTTCTTGGAAAATGATACCAGCAATCACCACCTGTGTAAACCCGCCCTCCCCTTCCTTCACTCCATATTCCGACACCGAGCCTGTCCAGTCTACCTTTCAAGTGTACTGTGGGTAGGTTCATTCATACTCCTGGGTAGTCCTACCTCTCTTCCGCAAACCTAGGCCGCCATCTTGTGACTGAATTCAGGAATAGCATCCTATTTCCTGGCCTTTTAACCCTTTTATTCTCCAATGTGAAAACCGTGGCAATATTTCACAAGAACTATTGCGTTATTTCGCTGCTGAAATCCCTCGTCACTGGTTTCCACTGCCCAGGTGCTCCAGGGGGCCCTTCTCTCTCCCCCTCCATTGCTTGTTGTTTTGTCTCTCTCACTGTGCCTGTGAGGGCAGGGGCTTTGTATACTTATATCCCCAACACCTGATGTAGTGATAAGATAAATCTCTTTGAGTGAATATAAAAGAAAGTTTCCTGTCTCACTCCTCTGTTCCTGGGTGCCTGCCCCAAGCCAGGATGTGAGGGCTGAGTGGCTGTGGGTGAGGACACTCTGAACTTCTAGCTATTCTTGGCCAGCCTCCATTCCATCAATATAAACCCCAGGCTGGAGGCTGGAGGGCCATCATGCATTTCATGGCAGGCCCTGCAGAGAACCAAAGTCTGGGGCCCCTGGGTCTCTACAGCACCCATCGGTTCCTGTACGCAGCCCTCTTATTAGTGCTGGTCATGATCAACCTGGTGTTTGGTAAGTGGTTCCAAGAGATAGGAAATATCTCCTGGCCTGCTGGATGGAATAACTCAGACACCAAGTGTCTGGATACTTCTGCCCACCCTGCTTGGGTCAACCCAGACAGCAGGAATGATGACATGGGTGGATGTGATGGGAAAATTTCTGGGGATTGCAAATGGACTGATGTTGGGAGAGTTCTAGTGATTGCCCCATGGATGTCACACTCAACAGTTGTGACCTGAATGGAGATAGTGAAGGGATCCTCTCTAAAGCTGAGCACAGCATAGAATAGAGTTGGTGGACAGGACAGATGATAGAACCAGAATCCATGGGGTAGAAGAAAGCTTAATTCATCTTGATAGCCTTCCCACTTGATTGCAAAGCACCATTTGCAGCAGTGTCTATTTAGCATTTGCCTCTGTCTCACAACTAGTGCTCTACCTGCTGGATACTCATTACATACTATTGGGGCCAAGGATCAGAGGAAGAAGGTGATGTACATGCATGGAGTTTGGGAGGGAGCCAGAGGATGGGGATTTTTGGTAGACAAAGTTTAATAGGGGGTCTGTCCAGTGAAGTGACCACCAAGACAAAGCATGTGGCATGGGCTGCTTCAAGTCTACTGCATAAATGAAACATTTTTCTTGTCCTGTGATGTACTTGTTTCCACTTCTGAGTATTACATATATATGTATATATGTACCTATATATGTGCATGTGTGTGTACACTTTTTTGTGGTACGGTGGTTTGAACTCAGGACTCAAGGCCTCATGTTTGCTAGGTGGGTGCTCTACCACTTGAGCCTCTGAACATTATATATTTAGAAGTTTGTCCAGTGGTGGATCATGCTTGTAATTTCAGCATTCAGGAGGCAGAGGCAGGAGGATGGAGAGTTAGATGTCAGGGGGGCTACACAGTGAAACCCTATCTCAAAACAACAAAGATGTTCTAAAGAGAGTCTGGGACTGGGGGGACTGAGGACTACAGAACCAAGTCACAGAGGAAGGACTAACTTGAATGGGCTGCCCCAGCCTCACTTGTGAATTTAGAGGCATGCAAAGGCATACTGGGCACAGGTTAGCCCTTCAAATGCATGCTGAGTGAATGAATTAATGAGTTCTTCATCTCTAGAGGTATAAGAGCAGAGAATGGAGATTTTTAATGAGGGTTAAAACTTCTGATCCATTAAACCAAATGACTTTAAAGAATTAGTGATTTTTGCTAGGTGCCAGTGGCTCACACCTGTGATCACAGCTACTCAGGAGGCAGAGGTCAGGAGGATTGAGGTTCAAAGCCAGCCTGGGCAAACAGTTCATGAGACCCTATCTGGAAAAACCCACCATAAAAAAGGGGTGGCAGAGTAGTGTAAATGGTAAGAGTGCCTGCCTAGAGTGCTCAGGGCCCTGAATTAAAAACCCCACTACTGAAAAACAAAACAACAACAAAAAAACCCCAGTGATTTTACAGTTTTCTGAAGTGGGGAGGGAACACTGGGATTAGAATTAGGAAGGTGGGACTTGGGGTCATTGCTTTTCTGTGTTCTAGGTAAGCATGTACCTGCCAATGCAGGCCCCCCAAAACCACCTCAATTCCCCAAATACCTGCACTGCTATCGATGTGTTTTGGAGACCAAGGAGTTGGGGTGCCTTCTGGGATCTGACATCTGTCTCACTCCAGCTGGCAGCAGCTGCATCACTCTGCACATAAAGAACAGTAAGCTGCTGCCTTCTTCCACTTGTCTACTCCTCTCCCAAACAGCTTCTTTCAGCCTCCTAAGCTGCACCCCACATCTTGTTCCTACAGCCCTAAGCCATTGCTCTATAGTTTGCATTCAGAATAACTCTCTGTCTCCACTTCCACCCCACTTCCCTCCTCAACCCACAGCTCACTGGCTCCTACTCCCTTTTGGCACTCATCCTTGAAGGGAACTTTAAGGATCTCCAGAGGCACTAGAGATCAAGCTATCTGCCCCAGAGCGGTCAGCATGGTTGCTTTTAGTGTCACTCTTCTGACACTTCACTGCTCTTCACTCAATCTTGCCTTGTTCTCCCTGACCTTTAATGGTTCCTGTTCAATAAGGTTTGGTCCTTATCTGTCTTCCCGCTGCATACTCTCCCCAGAGTACTTTATCTGCTTCTTTGGCTTTTAATAGCAGCCAGCTTCCTCCTGGGTCTGAATATTATGCTGAACTGCTCTTATGTCCAGTTGCCCACTGGACACCTCTGCCTCATCTTCAACTTGCTGAAGGTTAACTAAATTCCCTTCTTCCTCCTCATGTCTGTTCTTCTATCCAATCCCCTACCTTTATTAACAAAAACACAACACATGCTATGTGCCAGGCACTGTTAAGCATATCAGAGCTGATTTATCCTCCAAGTCAGGCATTACTATCACCTATTTTACAGAAGAAATGAGTGCAGAAAGATGCAAAATCTTGCCTGAGTCTCACCAGAATTGGTGGTGGCTCCAGAAATGATGCTGTTTTTAAAATTTATTTTATTTTACATTTTCATGTAATAATAGTACAGGGGGAATACACTGTGACATTTACATACGTGCTTACAATATATCTTAGATTCATCCCCTTCATCATTCTCCCTTATTCCCCTCCTCCCCTTTCTTAGATCATCTCATTGTTCTATTTTCATATACAAATGCAAAATACCTTCTCGGTTTACCCTCCCTCTGGCATTCACCCCTGGACAGGAACTGTTTTACCTTTCTGTCCTTCATTTTTTAAAGTGTATATTGATTGTTCAAGAGGATTTACCTTGGTATTTCAGACATGTATATATCGTGCTTTAATCAGATTAACTCCCTCTCTATTACTTTCTATAATCCTGCTCCCCTATGGGGACTTGCTGTGTTGTCCAGACTGGCCTCAAACTTGGCAATCACCCTGCCTCAGCCTCCAAAGTGCTGAGATTACAGGCGTGCTCCCCCACTTGGCTAGAGATGCTCTTAACACCCACTGCATGAAACTGCCTTTGTTGTTGTTATTATTTTTTTGGTGGTATTGAGGTTTGAACCAGGGTTCTGCACTTGCTAGGCAGGTGCTCTACCATTTGAGCAATGCCTGCAGTCCCTAACCCCCTTCTTTCTTTTGTCCAGTGCTGGGGATGGAACCCAGGGCATGCTGGGCAAGTGCTCTACCACTGAGCTACACCTCCTCCTCCCCCAATCCTTGGGGTTTTATTTTGTAGCCCTGCTGACCTGGAACTCACTATGTATAATAGGCTGACTTCAAACTTGCAATCCTTCTGCCTCATCCTCCCAAGTGTTGGGATTACAGGTATACAGGCATACACCACCATACCCAATACATTACTTTTTAAAAAATTTATGTTTGGTTTCCTTTTTTCCCTCCTTTTGTTGTTTTTATCCCCCCCTTTTCTCTCTTTCTTCTTTTTTTGTTTTCTCATTATACTTTTTAAAGCTGATGTATAGACATGGTTTAAGTATCAAAGAAAACTTCTTTTCATGCCTGGCCAGTCCTTCTGTCTCCCATGCACGCATAAACAACATAACCACTCTTCTTCCTTTTTTATTAAGGGCCTGGCACATGCTAGGCAAGTGTTCTACCGAGCCCCCCTCTATTTACTTTAACCTTTCTGCAATCTTCTATGCACATTTCACCCTACTTAAATTTGCTGTTTTCTCGTCTCACTTGATCTTTTTCACACAGCTGGTTGCATACCACAGTAAACACTGTTGTGCACTTGCTTTTTAAACTTGAAAGTTATGGGAACTTAATGTTACCATATCAGTTTGTAAACAGCTTTCTTGTTCTATTGACTTGCTACATGGTACTCATGGCATCAGGCTTATCAGTGCGGATTGGATTTATCTATCCTACTATTGATGGGCATTTAGTTGTTTCTAATATTTTACTCTCTCAAGCAGGACAGCAGTGAACATCCTGTATATGACTTATGACATGGGCCCAAAGAATTTTTTCTCTTCTAATATATAAAATAGTGGAGACATCTTCTTATCCTCTAAAAAGGATATGAGTATTATCTATAAGATAAATGAGAACCACCTCCCATCTGCAATCTAGCCTTCAGTACATTTCCCAAGCTTTTCCTTACAAGGGCTCATGATACTGGTTCTCCCCACTTCACTCCAAAAATTCCAACTCAGTGCCCCTCTTCAACTGTTACATTTTCAAATGGCTCCTTTCCTTTAACCTTCCATGGAAAACTTCAGAGTTCCATGGTTGGTGGCTTACTGAGCACTCCCTGCTTCTGTTCACTCCTAAGATTTTCTTTTGGCCAAGGGCAGGGTATGGAGGTAGTAAGTCTATGTGGAGCAACAGATGAAAGGATGTGGAGTTCTGTGTGGGGACTTCCTCATCACTGGTGCCTGACTCCTCCCCAGGCAGCGGTTCTGACATCATGGTGAGTGACTGCCGCAGCAAGGAGCAGATGAGTGACTGTTCATATACCCGCCCTTCTCCCGTGTTTGGCTTCTGGATATTCTCTCAATGCTGCTTCCGGAATTTCTGCAATAACCCTCAAAACAGAGTGCACTAGAAAGACTATATAGAGACCCTTGGAATAAAACTCAACCAGTTTCCAACATCCTTTGGATGTCTATCTTGGTTCAAGAAAGACAACTTCCAGTCTCTTATACCAGCCCTCCCTGCCTCCTTCAAGTCACTGGACCCTAGCCTGGACTCTTCCTCTTGGCTGATGCCTCCATCGCCCCCTACTCCCACTCTCCCTCCCAGGTTCCCTCTCTTGTCCCAGGTATTCTTCCAAAAATAAATTGATGTGCAAAGTGTTTGTCTTTCTTCTGGTGGATGTGGAGGCTGCAGGAGCTGGGTCTACATGTCTGGCCCATAATGGGGCCAAGAAAGGGGTTTCTAGCTCTGTTCCTGCCCCACTTCAGTATCTCTGATTCAGCTTTAGGCTAAAAGGTGAAGAGAAACTGGAAGCTCTCCTATAGTGAAGGCTGTTAGTGGGCATCCTCAGAAGAGCTGTCAGACCAGAACTGTGTGGGGATGGGTAGATCCAGAGGGCTGTATTGGTAGGAAGTGGACTTAAGTGTCTCTCTTCAAAATCCCTGACAAGAAGTTGATTTTCAAGTTTATCTCCCTCCCTCCCTCCCTTTTCCTTGTGGTGATAGGGGGTTTGAATTCAGGGTTTCATGCTTGCTAGGCAGGTACTCTACCACTTGAGTCACTCTACCAGCCCCCTCCTGCTTTTCTTATTCTTGGTTAAGTCTTAAGTCTAAAGCTGGGTGCATAGTGGCCCATGCCTGTAATCCCAGCATTTGAGACAGGAGAACTGACACTTTGAGGCCAGTCTAGGTTACATATACTTAAAAAATCAAAATACGTATGCTTCAAAAAAACAAAAATCCCAACATACACACATGCACACACATTAAATGGCAATTTTGGGCCGTCGGTTCCTCGGCTTAAGGCTTTCTTCTAGTTTCACCTGCTAGAGCAGGTTTGTCTCTCCCCACACTTCCATTCCATTTTTTTTGAGACAGGGTCTCATTATGTAGCCCAGACTGGCCTCAAACTCAAGATCTTCCTGCCTAGCTTCCCAAGTGCTGGGGTTATAGACATGTACATCCACATCCAGTTTTTTTGTACTGAAGTCAGAGATCATAGGAAAGACAGGCCCAGCAAACGGGTTTGTTCCCCTCTTTGTACCTCCAACTGCCTAATAACCTAAACCTTGCTTTCTTTGTCCTAACACAAACCGTTGAAGTAGATGTCAATCTGTAGGAAATACAGGTAAGTCTGCAGTGTAATGCCATTTCCATCAAGCATCCTCCAATTTAGGAGTGTCTGGGAAGGGGCAGGAAGGCAGCCTTGGGTGCTGGCGAAATTCTTCATGCTGACCAGAGGGCTGGTTATACAGGTGTGTAGGTGACAAAAATCCCTTATATGTACATGCTCCTTTATGCTTTGCCAAAAAGGCTTAAAAAACAGGCTCCAAATTGTGTGTGCATTTGTCCCTAAAGCATATAGACTTTTGTGTGTATGCATATTTACATGCAGTCCCTCAATCATATGAGGCACTATACCTTCTTGCCTGGTGACCAAACTGAGGCTGCAAGAGACTAACCCAAGCAACAGAGGAACTGGAATTGGACTTCCCAGCCACAAAGCTGTACTGCTTTTAAGATAAAGGTTTCATAGCTGGGTGCTGGCGGCTCGTGCCTGTAATCCTAGCTATTCAGGAGGCAGAGATCAGGAGGATCTCGGTTCGAAACCATCCTCGGCAAATAGTTCAAAAGACCCTATTTAGAAAATATCCATCATAAAAAGGGCTGGCGGAGTGGTTCAAGGTGAAGGCCCTGAATTCAAAAAAGAGTTCATAACCTCAGCAATGGGCTGTAAGCCTGGGAAGACACCTGGCTGTTCTTACCTAGAAGTCCTGGAGCTTTAACATAGGGCCTGACTGAGCAGCATGTGCCCGCTGCTTATTGAATACATAGAACAAGTTGACTTGCAACTATCCTTATTGCTTACTCTATGCAATTTTTCAAAAACAAAATATTAAAATAAAAATTCAACTATTGCAGACAGTATACTCTATAAATCCCCCAACCTCACAGAGAGTCCCAGGTGCCAGGATCCTTGAAAAGAACTAAGGAGTCACAGGAGCCCAGGTCCTTCAGCATCAGGTGACTGGAAGGTATGGACTCCTTTTTCTTCCTGATTTAAAGAGTGGCTTAGACCCTGAGTTCAAACCCCAGGGCTGTCAAAAAACAAATTAAAGAACTTACTCCTTTCAGGTGATAAACCCTGTTACCACCTAGATTCAGTGTTCTAGATCTTCCAGGGTATGTTTAAGGGTGGAGTTACATTCTTCGAGCTTTGATCTTTAGCTGAGCAGTAAGTAAGAAAGGACATGGCCCTTTGGGGAAGGCTGAGAGGAAGCCACAAAGGCTAAGTAGAGTGGGCAGGACTCTGGAATCCTGTTTGAATCCCACACTTAGTAACTCTTTAACCTCTACACCTACCCACATCTGAGCCTGACCCAAAAAATAATGTGACACAAGATTCAGCCCAGTCCCAGTTTATTATGGAGGGAACAGGGGACATGGAGCAGAGGAGACCCTCCCTGTACTCTCACCGGGCACCTACTGATGTGCGTGTTAAGTAAAATGGGTCTGTGATGAGAGGCCAGAGGTAGCAGAACAGAATAGAAGAGGGGCTGGTGAAGATAGTGTGGCAAAGAGACCAGGTTGCCACATCAGGAAATCTGTACTGAAGTCTACCCCTCATTCTTCCTGTTACAAGTGCAGCCTGGCATTGAGTCTTACAGACAGGCTTTAGACAGTGGATGCAATACCAGATTTGAGTGGCAGATAACCAAATTGAGAGAGGGGGAGATGGTGAACACTCTGATGATGGGAACCTCTGAGCCTTCCTCAGATCAGTTTGAACAGAAACCATACTTGAGATTCTTTTCTAGGAGGAAGACAGAGCAGCACTAGGGTTCAGGGTAGGAAATTAAACCAAAGCCATACAGATGCTGGAAGTACAAAGGAGAGAGGCCAAAAAATCATAGGGACCAGAGAATATGAGTGTTCTCATAGGATAGTTCAGGATAGAGGTATTCACAGGGAGAGATGCTGGAACAGAGCAGAATTTGGGAAGGGGAAGGTATCAGGGTTCACCCCGGGGAAGAACCAGAAGTCCAGAACTGTTCAGGAACAAATATATGTGGCGCAGGTTAGCAATGGACAAGCCCAGATCCAGGGGCAGGGTGACCAGGGGGTCTAGGCCTTCAGTCTCCTTCCCAGCATGGAAGCTAGGTAGGGGCAATGAGAGGTTCAGTGCCTGATAGAACCAATGGGCCTGGGAATTGGACAGGGGAAGAGGCCTCTCGGGTGGCTCAGTCAGAAAGCTGTGACGCTGGGCACTGGTCCAGGAGTTACAGTAATCATATTGGCAGCACTGGGCCTGATACCAGTACTCTGAGAAGTAGGTGTTGCGTTTTTCTTGGCAGCGGTAGGAGTTGTGCTGTCCACAGCCTCGGATGTTGAAACGAACTTTAACGTCTGGAGGAGAGGGGACAACTATAACCTGATGGTAGACTCCCCGTATTACCCCAAACCTGGCTTGTCTGCCACTGACTCTCCAGACTCCTCACTCAGACCTGACTTCCATCCTAAGCATCTTCAGAAGAGGTCAGAAAAATTCACTGACCTAGCCTCTAGAATTCCCAATCCCTCCTTCCAAGATCCTTCCCTATTCCTTGTATACCCTAGGCTCCAAGAAGCACTCATGTGTGGAGACCAAGCAATAGCTGTCCTTCCAGCAGCCCCTCCATGGGACTTTTTTTTTTTTTTTGGTGGTAGTAGAGTTTGAACTCAGGGCTTCGTAATTGCTAGGCAGGTGCTCTACAGTTTGAGCCATGTCTCCAGCCCCCTCCCTGGGACTTTACTCACCATAATAGATGGTAATCACCATGCATGGGGATGAACTGCTTATAGTGCATTTCTCCAAGCCCGAAATGCATCCCACAGAAGGGTCTTCTAAGAGGCAGAAGTGACAGGTCCGGACTTCAGAAACAGGAGGAACTGGGGATGCAGAAGAAAGGAATGATGGGGGCAGTGGTTCAATCTGAAGTCCCCTGCTCTGCAGAGAGCCTGAGCATCCAGGGCCCCAGCTCCACCCCCTTCCTTCCTGCCCCTGGGCCTCACTTACCCTTTCCCACTGCGAAGCCCACCATGACCAGCACACCTACAAGCATACAGGCTTTCATTATGGAATTCAGGGGACAGGGGTAGTTCCTGTGAGATGCTTTGAAACCCCACCTTCCTGGGATCACACTCCTTGATCCTTAGCTGCAGAGTGGTTTTTGACAGGCAGTCTGAACAGAAGCTTCTGTAGGTGAGGTGCTATATTCCTGCCTAGGGCATGATTCTGGCCGGGGGAGGAGGTTATGAACTTAGCAGGAGGATTGGCATGTCCTCACCCACAAGGTCTGGTTCCTGAGTGTGGGATCAGTGGCCTAGACAAGGTAATGTCTGGATCTTTTCCCAGTTTTATATGCTATGTGGGTCCCAAACATCTACTCCCTCCCCTCAAGGGTTCATGGGTTAATGTTTGTCTCTGGCACCTTTTACTGTCCTCCCACACAACAGGTCAGTTCCTGCTGTGCTGGGACAGGCTGACCAGGTACAAGTGTCCCTATCCTTCTGATATGAGCATGTCTCAGCTCCCCCAGCAAGGGGCACATGGACACAACTAAGCAGCAATCCTGGACCTCCTCCCTCTTCTCCAGTTCTACTTATTTTAAGACTACATACACAGTATTGCTGACTAAACCTTTTATGGTATAAACGGATAACTATGATGCCTAAAGAGAACAGGCTATTTCCCTAGTCTCTGAAGCCTGATCTTTTCTTTTTACCTTGTACTTCTCCACAACCAACCTAGGAATTGTGCTCTACTCTATACTAAAAACATCACCCAAGTCCACAGGACACCAATTTGTGCTGGTTTTCCACCTGGGGAGGGTGGGCTTGGCCATGAGGGCTCCTGGGGTCCAGCACACCACCACCTTCCCTTCCCCAACCACAAGTACCAGCAGACTAGCTCATGGCCTTTTCTTCCACTTTATTTCATATTCCCACCACAATAATGACTCCTTTAATTTAAACTAAAAACCATAGAAGGTTCCTGAAAAGGTTGCAGCAAAGGAACGGAGGTGTCAAAGATGAGGAACTGGTGGAGTGGGGAATCAGCGAATCGTCTTGACTGGGCTCTTGAAGTTGCTGGCGGCTTGGAGCTGCAGTTGGTAAGCCATCGGATGGATCTTGAAACCATAGAGCCTGGGCCGGGTAGAGGTCAGAGAAGCAGCAGGTTGAGCCCCATCCTGACCCTGCAATGGCCTGCATTCCCACCTCCCCACCCCACCTCCTCCATGGGCCTGCTCAATGCTTAAGGGTAGTGGTTCCCAAACTTCTTTGCTCTGAGTATTTGGAAATTTATCTCCAACAAAACTCAAATTCCAGGCTAGGTGCTGAAGCCCCACATCTTGGGGAGGCTGAAGCAGGAAGATTTCTTGAGTTCAGTTGTTCAAGGACAGCCTGGGCAAGAGTCCTTGTCTCACCAGGACCAAAAAAAAAAAAAAAAAAAAAAAGGGGCCTGGGAGTATAATTCAGATGCAGAGCATGTGCCTTAATATGCATGAGGCCCTGGGTTCAATCCTCAGTTTTAAGAGCACAAGCACACACGTGTGTGTGTGTATAAATATATACTGAGATCCCAGGACATATATAAACACTACTTGTTTCAATATAAAATAGAACCTTTCTTCCCTAACTCATAATAAAAACAATAAACCATGCTTGACCACAATCTGAGGATCTCATGGCAAAAGGTGAGCACCCAGGATGGTGGAAATAACAGTTACTGTTTAAAGGTCACTACAAGTACCACACATCCTAAACAATTCACATATTTAAAGGCACAGTCAGGCAATATCAGCATTTCTAATACATAGATAAGGAAAGTGAGAGATAAGCAAACAAGTAACTTCCCCAATCACTTAGCAGGAAGAAGTCCTGCCTTTGGGACAAGCAGGATTGTTCTCTCTTCTCTCCAGGGGATCTTTGGGCTTTTCCTCTGACCCTTGATGATTCTGTCCCTGCTTCCCACCTGGGCACAAACTGGTTGGCAGGTCGCTTGGGCCGGTACTCGGGATGCACCATGAAGAGCATGTGAGGGAAACCGGTGCCGAAGTAGGCGCCATCCGTGTGATGGTGCCTCGATGACTTGGGTGTGTACACATCCATGCACTTGGGGCAGTAGAGCTTCACCATGGCCTCACCTGGGATGTCCGAAAGGCCTGGGAGACAGCCAGACTCTGCAGGCCAGGTACCCCCCAATTCTGCCCAACCTCCCCACAGGACTCAGACACTGACCTGCTGAGCCCCAACTTCTCAAAGTACTGCCATGTGGTGCCCTCCTCTCCCTTCTTCAACACTCACCAATGGGAAGCATTGGCTGGTTCTCACAGTACACACGGGGACAGTAGCCAAAGTCTCCCTGCTGGTACTTTTCCAACTGAGATGTATAAAATGGAGGGGACTGTTGGTTAAGTATGAAGAGGAGGGACAACCTCTTCCTCAGCCCAACCCAAATCACTTGGTCCTTGATATTTGACACCTCTGACCAGAGGCCCCTTCTCCGGCCCCAACAGGTCCTTAGACTCATTTACTGCCTTTCTTCTAGTTAGGCAGGCTGCAGAACATCAGTATCATTTGCTATTTGTTCCCTAAAGAACAGGCATTCTATAACAACTCCCTATCCAAGGTTTTGTCTCCCTCCCAGAAAACAACCCTCTCAGCAGGCACCCAATGAGGAGTCAATTCCCAGGTCCAGGCTCTGGGATTCTTCCTCTTTTTCAGCTAGACTCCTTGATAGAAATGAAACTTGACTTCTTGCTGTGCAAACCTCTGTTTCCCTTAATGCCTCAGAGGAGTCAAGTGGGAGCAGAAAGGGCTCACCATCTGGGCGATGCCACGGTTGGTGAGGATATAGCGGGCGTGGATCAATCCATAAAGCATCTCGGCTGCCTGCTCAATCAGGTCGCTCTGGTTGGGGTTGTCTTCCAACTCTTCATCTGAAATGTGGGCCAGCCAAATTCAACTATTTGTTTTTTTAGCTTTCCTAGATTATACACCTATCCCCGGGGCAGTAGCCTATTCAGTTTGTCCAGCACCCACCTTTGAACCTCACCCCATTCATCACCTGGGCATTTAACCCAGAAACCTGGACCTCTGTCCCCACCAGCAATCTAAGGCAGTTTTGCCTTCTCTCCACACCTCCTCAGCCCGTGCTTTTCTTCTCTTGCTCCCAACTCCCTCCTCAACACATAATTGCAAAGATGTCAGTGCAGAATGTAGCATGTTAGGTTGGAAGATGCAAGACAGGAGAAAGAGGCAGTAAATGAAATCCTTGAGGAAACAGAACTGAATAAAAGATTCAGAGAGCATGGGAATAAGCACTGCTGGTGACATGATTAGACAAGAGTTAGGTAGCGGATCAAAATAAGGCAGGGTATTTTGAGTCTGGGGAGTTGGAGAACCAAAAGGAAATTTAAAAAATTCAAGGATAAAGTGGGTACAAATTGGAAGAGAAAAGAAAAGTGCACACATACACCAACATACACATCCCAACCCTGGAGGGTGCCTCACCAGGTTCCAGGTCCAAGATCATGTCTAGAGCTTGTCGATAGTGAGGCACCTGCTCATTGAGTCCAGTAAGATTAAATTTGTCCTGGATGTAGTCTTCATCCACCTATGAGGACAGGGAAGTCAAGAGGGAGCCTATATCAGAATCCCTGGCCTTGATCTAGCCAAGATGCTCTGATGACTGGTCCTCAAAAACTGCATCTGTTCCCCTTGGTTCCCACTCCCAACTTACAGAAGTACTTGAGACTCTTCCTAGTTTAAGTACTCTCTCCCATAAAACACACACACACACACACAAACAAACCTTTGGCTTTTCTCTTCTGAAGATAAGCAAATATAACCATCTCATAGAGACGTTCTATTCAAGATCACTGTCTCTAATACTGCCTTTTATCTCTAAGAACCCATTTTGTTCTCTTTTTAGGGACAGCTGGCTCTCTGAGGACAATGGAGGCGTGGTTTCCGAAGGCAGTTAGACTCCCTTACGTTAACACACAATTTTTATACATTACGAAGTACTATAACGTGAAGCTTTTCAATTCTCCTAACAGCCACCAGATATAATGTACTACCAATAAAAAAAGTACAGTTGGCCCAGTCCTATGTTATAATGCAGCAGGGTGGCAGAGTTGGGACTAGGGACTTGGTCTTGCCACTTTGCCACAGATAATGTGAGATTACTGATAAGATTCTTCTTTGGCAGGAAGGACGAGAGGCAGGAAAGGTGAGTGCAGAGCATCTGTGGGGATGTCTGACCACGTGGAGCTGGCCAGTAGGGAGTTAAAGAAAACTCACTTCACAGAAGAACTCATTGCCACGGAGTCCACAGAACCAGGAAATCCAGGACACCTCCTCTGAGCTACTCATCTTCACGTCAACTGAAAAATAAGGGTGTAAGTAAAGTCCGAGCTCTCCGCCTGCCTCTGGCATCCTCTCTCCTCCCACACGTTACCTCTAACCACGGAAGAATCAGGGGCCACCCTATCTTAAAGGATCCCAGACTCTGGAGCACCTCTTCCAGATTTTCTCACTTACCCCTGGGCCCCTTTTCTGTGAGGTGAGGAATTCTTCGAGGTTCCACAACTTGTGAGAAGCGAACAGACACTGAACACCCACCGCCCCACTCACATTCCTGGCGCTCAAGGCCAGGGCCCTCGGCTTGGGCTCCCAGCCACCGCGGGCGTCCGCATGTTCCCGGCGCCTTTCCCAAGGGTCCCGAAGTTTATCCTTCCCAATTAAGAGCCGGACCCCTCCTTTTCTCACAGGGTTGGGGGGCCGTCAAGTCCCTCTCACGGGAGTTCCCCCATCCTGCCTCCGCCCCTCAGATCACCCACCCTCCTTCGCTGCCTAACTGGGTCACTTCCTTCCTTGCCCCCACATCAAGGCTCACAGACCCCATGTGCCCCGCCCAGGGACAGGAGACTCGGCACGGCGACGACCTCGGACTCACCGGCTGGACGGGGACCGGGACTGGGGTGGGGGAGGGGAGTTGCTGCTTCCAAGGAACGGCGGCGACCGCTACAGTGCAGGCCGCGGACCCAACCGCGGTAAGCGAAGTAGGGTTGGGGGGTGGAAAGTGGGGAGGGTGGAGAAAAGGGTAACGCGCAAACGCCAAGGGTCGGGTGCCTCGGTGGACGCCGGGAGATGGAGTCCCCAGTTGTGAGAGAAGCTGGTAAAATGAAGGAAAGCGAACTACCAATCCCAGTAGGACTCGCGCACGACCCTGGTGTCGCGAGGCCTTTGAGGAAGCCGCCTGGGGGCGGGGCGCAACCAGGAGCCACCGGAAGCGGAAGTCAAGTACGGCGTTCGGGGTCAGGGAAACAGCATTACGTTCGCTGGATGGAGGGACTTGGATGGGGCGGGGACAGGAGCAAGCGGCAGGATCCCTCCCCGCCGCTCTCCCCACGAGGTTCCACTGTGGTTCCCTCTGCCTCTCCCGGGCCAACCTACTGGACCGTTATTCTCCTGTCAGGCACTTCTTCCGAATCAGGTCGGCCACTGGAGGCCCACGACGGAGCCCATGCTTCTCCCGGTCCCTGGCATGAGGCGGGAGGTGCGGCTGGACTCGGTGTTGTGTCTTGGGTCGGGTGTGCTTGAGCTGAGCTGAACTGGGCTGGGCTGGGCTGGG